TTAAAAATATAAAAATAATTTAATTATTTTAATATTTTTTATTTTCTTAATTAATAATTTATATATTATATTAAATATATATAACTATAAATTCTAAAAAAATATAATATATTTTAAAATATAATAATTAAATAAAATATTAATTTTATTTTTCATAAATATATTATTCCAAATATTTCCAAAAATGTATTTATTATATTATATTCATATATATATATATATTTTTCAAATATAATTTATATTTTATATAATTTATAAAATAAATATAATTATATTTATTATTAATATTATTATTAATATTCTTATTAATATTATTATTAAGGGTATTTCCCTATATTCAGGTCTGATTTCGTTGCATTCAGGTTTTCACATTTTTCAACACATGAGTAAACCCAAAGTTCACCAATTAGCAGCCGTCATGGCTCAAAAGACCGGCCCCTCGGATCCCCGGAGGTTGAAGCTACTGGACTGCATTTCCTGATTCCTTCAAAGAGTGAGAATGGTTTTTTTCTTCATGTTCCATCGGGCTGGTTTCTTGAATTTGGTGCCTAGGTTCTTGCAATCTTTGGCTCCGAAAGTTGAGAATCCTGATGACGTTCAAGAGTCTGATGTTAGGCCCATGCCAAAGGCAGCTTCTAGTTCGGATAGTCGGAAAGGTTTTTTCAAAGAGTTGAAGAGAGAGGAGCCAGAAGTTGAGAAAGAGAAGTGGAAGGTAACGGCTACGGTGAACTTCTCACAGGAATCCCTCCTGCAATTCAAAGAAGATAACTTGCTCCACACAACAGCTGCTGTGACCTTATCAGCTCCACCTCGGAAGAGACCTAATTACGATAACAGAAAGCGGAAGTTTATGGCAACCCAACAAGAAGAGAGAAGAGAGTAGCCCAACTTAGCTGAGAGCTTTTGTTTGGGGTGTGGTCTATGTTATGTAGTGTGTAGGGGCTAGCCGCGTCTTTTGTTGCATGGTTAGCACGCTGTGCCAAGGCAAAGTGCCAATGGCAAATCTCGGGAAAGGGTTTTCAAGCTCTTGAATGCCAAGCAGTGCACATGCAAGCACTACAGAGTTCACTGTTACAAGCGGTTCGCAGCCGATGAGTTGATGATGTTTTTGTCAACTTTCTGGTCTCTGCGGAAAACCCTTCAAGATGCTTACGTGGAATACTTAGCAACCTCACTCGGCTGAAATTCATATACCTGAAGTCAGAGTTAACAAAGATCAAGAAGGTTTTTCATCATCCTAATTTCCTTTGTTTCACTGAGATCCATCGATTGGTTTCTGGTGCATCTAGAAGCGGTGTGGCCAAAAAATGGATGTTGCTGAACAAGCATGTGAGCATTCGATGCTTGGCAATGCTGCTTGGGATAGGTCGTGAGCGTTTAACCAGAACCTCAGAGGGAAAGCTTGACATGCGGTTCAAATGCTTTGGATCAGCAACTTGCCCCGTTTGATGCTGGCTTTTATTAGCACAATGATGGGGATTTTTTGACATCAAATAGAATTCTAAATTTTGGTTTGTTGACCTACTTCTTCCAAAATCTGAGGCACCACCTAAGCCCAGCGTGAAGCGGAGGAAGATAGATTTTCATCTCCTGAGACTTTACCAAAATGCCGCGGGGATGCTTCCAAACAGGTCTTTGTCTCGCATTATTTTTTTAAGTATTATGAGACTGACTTTCCTTGGTTTGCTGCACAGTCATCACACTTGGGTAGACCAGGATTTTTTAGCCAAGGTTTCAAAGAGGGGGACGTTGCCGGGAAAAAGACAGAGACCAGCCCAGCAAGTTGACTGCGATTTTGGGATCTTGCGCCGATGATGCCGAGAGTAGAACCAGCAGCACCATAGCTGTTATCATTTCTTTCCACCCAATAGGTCTCTATTGAATAATGAGTTCCATGGAATTCACCCAATAGGTCTCTATTGAATGAGTTCCATGAAATCCACCCAATAAGTCTCTATTGAATGAGTTCCATGAAATCCTGTTGTCCCTGCATTCGTCGGAATGTTTGAGCCTTGCCCTTCCCAGGTGTTGACAGCGACGATGATGGAGAGGCAGAGTTCGGGGTTGCTGGGGAACAACTGGAAGACGACGAAGAATTGAGATTACACATCCATGGCTGCAACCACTACTTCACGAAGTGAAACCCCCAGCTAGCACTGTGATACTAATACTTGTTGATCAGTTTGTGACTGTATGAATCCTGACCGTTCCTAAGGTATATAGAGACAGCATTTGCCCAGAAAGTATCAGAGCTTCCCACCAGATACCTCCCGCCGGGGACGGTGAAGATGCTTTTCCATGAGTTCTCCCTGACATCCCCATCCATCTCGCGACTCTATTGAGTTATAGCATTTTAGGGAGAAGGTTTTTAATTTTGAACAGGTTCTGAATTTAATTCCTTACGTTCCAGCTAAGACCAAAACCTTTTGTGCCTGGAAACAAGGTACGTCACATTCTGGCGCCGCTTCCAGAGTACTTGGCGCAACATCCTACGCTTCACCCCAGAATCTGATCACAGTACCTGTGACACATGCTTGGACTGCAAAGAGCGCTTCAAGACCGCCAGTGAACCATGACTTCCATAGAATTGTATTGATGACTCATGTATGCCAACCAGCTAATCTTTTCTGAGTGGAATTTAGACAATGGACTGCGGTGTAGCCTAAGGACTTGCAGAGCAAATTTGACACAGCAAAATTGTACAAGACACACCTTGCCGGGGTGAGTGCGGACAGAGAGTTGGAGGAATGGTTCCAGGCCAGACTAACCCATTTTATACCTAGTAGGGACACAAAGCAAACATGAACCTGGTGGGCTCTAAACTTGGTTTTTGGGAGGCTGCCTCACCGTTGACTGACGAAAATGCCCCGCTGACCATCCATTGGGTCACTTGCAAGTGAATTGGACAGATGTGGTTGGGTTTTCCAGCATTCATACCATTGTGAGAATTGTGAGAGTTCAGTTTGTTGGTTCCAATATCCAAGGATGGAATGGATCAGGCGAAGTGGGCCCTACCGAGAAATAGAATACTGCAGTCTAGTAAAGAAGCAGCTGCGCTCATTAGACCTCGCCTGAAGGTCCATGGGCTATGGATCCATGGAGTCAGCCTCAACCTCTACGTGGTGCACCCTGGAGTGGCAGCTGACTCCACTTTAATCTGCGAATGCTTCGCACGTGCCCTGCAAGACACCTTCGAGACCTTTGAGTCGGCCCAAATGAGGATTCCTAAGGAATGCCTCATTTGGGCACCTAGGCAGCAGATATCATCTTGATTACATGCCCAATGAAACCTTTGTTCTTTCTAGCTTTCATGACATCATGTCAGATCTTAGTCTGTCTTCTTGGCCTCATGAGTCATCGATCTAGTGTGATTGTGGTTTCTAGTTTTTGTGTCAGGGTCAGGGTCTAGATTTGGACCACTTACCGACATGAGGCCGACAACACTGTGCGCGAGAATAAAAATAACGTTGCCTTCAAAATGATGACTACGCTTTTGGGAAAAGGACTTATGTCCTGTGCGGGCATATTCTTTGCCCGCACAGGACATACGCACGGTTGCTTAGGTCACCTGATTGCATTTTCAAGACTTAAGGCATGATTTACTTTTCAGAAAATGAGAGACGATATTCCACACAATGGGGACGTCCACTCTTGAACCGGCTTATACAACTGAGATCAACTATTTGGTCTACTTGCTGCATGTGTCCGATATGTGGATCTGATATGTGATGTACCAGACCTGATAGCGTCGCTTACCCATATTATGTTTTCCTTCGCTGTGAAAACATGTTTGATGGACTATATACTGATTGAATCTTACAAAACAACAGTACTTCACCCAACCTCAGAGCCTCACAGTCCCCTCTAAGGAAAATCCGTATGATTTTGGACCGCATCCAGATCAGAAAGTGGATTGGGGAAAAGGCACGAATCAATGTCCAGTACATAACGTCCTGTCGGCCCTGGAAAACATGGTTTCTTGATTTGAATGTTAACTGCTGTAATCTGAAAACTATGTGTAAACATCATGATCAACAATATTGCCCTGCGCCCAATCTTTTCTTTTTGCCATGTTTGCGCCCATTCATCGCTCGCCCAGGTTGCAGCAGAAGCTCCCAGTCACCTTCCAAGGCGGAATGAAGCGGGACTCAGATGGGCACCATGCCTTTATCTTCTTGAGAAGAGCAGGCGTGCTACTGCAACTAGTGGTCAACAATTGTTTCCAAACACATCAACGTTGGGTTCTTTATGTGAATGTCTTGTTTTTTGCAGATGTCCCCCGGAACATCATCATCAAACACGACGAGAAGCATGGACCACTGGTCCCCCACGAGATGGACATCATTTGCTTCGTGAAGAGAAATGCGTCGGACCACTTTCTAGATCAGGATTTCTGACTCAAACATATATACATGACATGTAACATGAACTTCCCATGAGACAGCTCGAGATACCAAAGTCATGTGTACAGGATGCCATGAGATTTACAAAGAGTCATGTTAGAGTGTGCGTGCATGGAATCTTTTCATTTTGAGGAAGCTGTCCTCGCAATGCCCTACCAATTCCTCCAGCCCATTTTGTGCGAAGCCCCAGAGGGATCCAGGCCTTTGAAAAGGCTCGATCCAACGAAAAGAAAAAGGTATTTGGATCTTTGTCAGGTTATCGTGAAGCGATTCGCCTCAGAGAGTGGTGGGCGAGCAATTGGATTTCTGTTGGACCTTTGCAAAAACACAGATCCTGGACCAACATCACCCATACCATTTTACACACGACCTGGCCAACAAGACCAGATCGTGATTGGACAATCAGTCTTAGCCAGGGTAGCTCCAACCATACGGTTTGAAGCCAGGATCAATCGTCGTCGCTAAAGGGCGAAAACAATCCTCACAGTGAATCTGATATCATTGTTCAAAGTCGCAGAACAACAGCTGCTACAGCCCATGGTTTCTCTAAAGGTAGCTGAGTATTCTGAAGCTATTTAGCTTACCGGTGCCCGATAGCTGTGTGGGCAACATGCCTTACATGTTGGTGGGTGTTGATGATGCCCATGTGCAGCCTTCTTACAGGCCCCTCACCCTTGGGACCTTTCAGATTTCATCGCATTTCATCGCCAATGTCATATGGGATGATGGTATTATTATTTACTGGTTGTTTTTTTTGCCAGAACCTACTACGCAGCCAGCCCCCCCTTTCATTGCTAGGCGGATGAATGCAAAGGCGCCTGTGCACAGCTTTGCTCTCAATGTTCAGCGCTTTGGGTTCCCACTTCCTGTGGCAGGTCTGGGATGATGGTTTGAGGCAACAGGACGCACCTATCAAGACCTGTCAAGCAACCATCACTCATTCAACCTCTTTCAGGACAGATTCGAAGAATACCAATCACAAGTTTATGATGTATCTCCTGAAGGTACCCAGGTGCCTGGTTGTTTTTGACAACATACAGTGGTGCACCCATAATGGTCATATTCCAGTGTTAGTTAGTTTGAGCCAGGTTGATTCTTCACCCGGGACATCGGAATCAGATTCCGAGGCAATGTCGTATTGTCTTTAGAGAGTTTGTTTCTCTGTTGAGTGCGAAAATTAACTGGTCCCAATGACCGGCCCCAAAGTGCTTGCAAGGAAACCTTCGTGGCCAAGAAGCAAGCCATCGAGAACCAACTGATGATGAATGATGACAAGATCCGCATACCCCTGGCCAAAACCTCAAAATTGCTCTCATCTGCATTTTTTCCATTTAGATTCATCAGCTGGAACATCCAGGGATTATTTGGCATTATGATAGATGGGAATTTGTTGAAAACAAAATCTGGTAACCCCGCAGCAGCTCCTGAAAATAGCTCAGGGCATCCGCGATCCTTTCCTTAGTGAAGACTCTCAGGTGGGATGGGCAGTCAGAAAAGGAAGCAGTTAGCCTTCGAGTCCAATCATATGCAATAAATATCTAACATGCTCAGGATTCAGTCTAAATCATGTGATATCACGTGAGAGGCCGAGCCCTGGAGAATTCGCGCTTTTTTGGAAGAGGCGTGTTCTTTTTGTTTATTCCGAGATTTTCATTTAGACATTGGTTGCCAGCAGCCAGGTGCTGCAATCTAAATATGCAAGGCCCTTTGGAGAGGCCTCTTCCTCCTTCAATCCTGTAAATGTTTGCTTGACATTTTGCGACACTATCTTCATTCACCGTTGGGATTATGTCTGTGTATGCAGGATCGTCAACAAGAATCACTTGGCATGGACCCTGTGGTTGTAGAAGAGTACAATGAGATGTCAACAAATGCTTCAGCCGGGGATGGTTTGCACAGTGGCAGCCAGACCCAGCCGTCACAGGTCCCTGAGGACTTAGCCTGCCCAGTTGAGGAAACCCAGGCACCTCACAAAGATGTTGTCAACGACAGTGATCAAAACTGCGAGAAACTCAAGGCCTGCTCCAATCTTCCTTTTTACAGAGGATGCATGTCCATGACTTTCATATTGATCACAGAGCGATTTAGTGTGACATGGTCTTCTATCACTGTGCAGACCTGTTCAAAGAACTTTGCCCCCGACATCGATGCCTGTGATAAGGCATGCCATCAACACATATATGCATTGTTTCTTACTCATGCCGACTCATGCTGGTTTTCAAAAAAGACCTTCTTCCTTGAACCTCCCTGCCCCGGCACAACAGGCAAAGCAAATTGCGAGGCCCCTGGCTAAAAGAGCTCGGACAAATCTTTGAGCCTCACACGGGGCACCAATTCATGTTGTGCACTCCAGCCTGAGAGTTAGTCTCAAGTCTGTCAGTCTTTACTACGAAGGGTTTCGGCAGGACTCAACGGAAGTTCTGCAGGGGATTGCAGCATATTTCTGCCATCAGCTTCAAGTTCAAGAAAAAAACGGTTTCCACAATTTCCACACTGTTTCAAGCGATTGGTTTCAGATAAACCGTTGCAAGGAAACATGATTCCACACCTATTCAGAAAAGCTGTGCAGAGTTGGAACTCGATCAAGCCGCTGACCAAGAGATTTGCAAGTTCAAGGATGCCAGTAGGCCTTAGGACAGCAGTTGCTCTGGCTGTCTCTCGAACCGACAGGACGAGGCACGGTGTCACGACCATGGTTTGGATGTCATCAACTTTCTATTCAGCCAACAATCCAGGAAACCATGTGCTGGTGATCAAATGACCACCAGAGAGAAGCCCAAAAGGCTGGGCATGATCACTTTTCCATGAGGTCATGGTTCCTTCATGTTCCCTTCAATTCCTTACTAAGTTTTCCAGCCTGCAGGAGCAGCAAAAACGTGAAGAATGCACACCTGAAAAGGGCGCCCAGGGCATGGAGGCCGTCCAGCCGCCGTGTACCAATAGGTTCAAACTGCTTTCAATTTCGGTATTGCCCAATTAAAATGTGGAGACAAGAACGTGGAAACAAGAATGCGATCCTGTTATGAAACCATCTCTGAGTAGTATTGACATCATAACTGTTACTTTGGCCAGGTATCCAAAAACAACAGTGGATGCCGCGACAGACCGGAGCCCGACTGGCTTTTCTACACTGAAAGAAGCCTTTCAATGGCCAGATGTATTTCTGAAACGATTAGGAAAGCATTATGGTTCTGCATGGCTCTGTAAAAGGTTGCGTGCATGGCGATGGACTTTCTCCACAGCATTTTCTGGTGTCGGTGCACCAGAATCTGTCAATAACCCAGTATCTAACACATTTCTTGTTAGTTTAGACTCACATCATTGCCTATCACCTGCTCCTTCCGTTGCTTCACTGAGGCTTTGACAAGCTTGGAAAAGGCTGCAGAGCATTACCTTCAATCTGTGGGAGCCCGGGTACCGACCCATCGCAGGGTTCTCTATGGCTTCACATGTGAGATTGACAAGTGCTGCAGAAATATCTTGCGCAACACGTACAACAGCCCTTGCAATTTCCCAGACATCACCGCTTTCGATGCAACAAAGAAAACCCAGTTCTGTAGCACGCACAATGGCATGTGCAAAGTGCGGAAGCACCGTCGTGGGAATCGAATCTCGTTTGAAATACGTTGTCTACTATTTTTCGTCAATCATAGTCAATTAAATCCTTGACATGTATATTATATATATATATATTATATGTTGGCACATTCCTGTCAATCATTTTCTTCGATGGGCCCATGCACACATATGAGCTTCCGGCCCCAAGGATTGGATGTGAATGCTGGCGGCCACAACCTCAGCCGACTGGCGAAGAGAACAATTGAACTCAGCAAATGTTCAGAACATGTCAGCATGAAGCTTTTTGAAAGAAACTCCGTTGTGGAAGAGGTTCTACTGAAATTCCATTCCGTTATGAAGTAGATTATTTAAATATTAATCTCTGGCCAGATGAGGTGTGGTTTGCACACCGTTCAGCAAGATGGGAGCTCAAGAGGGCACTGCAGCCCCTGCTTTTGCCACGCATGAGTCATACTACAAACAAATGGGGAAAATACATGACATCCTACTGGTGGAGAATGTCCCAGAGTATGACACGGACATACCCCAACAGCACTTGGACCAGTTGCGTGATGATGGTGAAGAGAGGGGAATGTGGGGAAGTGTGTGTGCAGTGGTGGATCCCAGGATCTTTGGCGTCCCGGCAGCTAGGGCAAGGTTGTTCTACCTGGCGTTCCGGAAGGACCGGGTGAAGCTGAGGACCGATGTGTGCTTAGATTGCATTGGGGGAAGCTGCCTACTCATTCATGAAATTCAATTGGGGTGGTCATGTGTAGCTCCAGCCAAGGACCCTAGAAGAGATCATTGGGATCCTAACAGCCAAAACAGTTGCCACTGCCGACATGTTCGTATGGATGGAGCTCCCTCGAACAGTCCTGACACCTGCCCAGGCATCTTGAATCAAATCATGATGAGCAAACTTTTTGTCAACCTGCCCAGTCTCAATATAACTAATAACTAATCTAATTGACTGCCATTTCTTGCCTTAAGGAGAGAAATCTTCGAGATTACCGGAAAATGAAATCACTGCGGTATCCAGACCTATCGCAGTATGCTCGGAATGGTCGGGGACGGGGGGAGTGTGCTGACAAAACCCTCTGCACGTTGACAACTTCCAGTCGACTTTTCTCTGAGGACAGTTCTCAAAGTTTTGAACATGTTCGGAATGCAGCTATATACAGATATCCCCATGTTGGCCTAGTTCAAGATCGCTTTCCCCTACCCTCTGTCCACATGACCCGTTGCCATTGCGCCTCAGGACGCCAAGAGATTCCTGGATGCAAAGGAGCTGCTGAGTTCTCAGCTTCTACCCGTGACGCGTGAGCAGAGCCGATTGAGTCGGGCTCCCCCTTTGTGTTTGGAAGGAATTCCAGAAGGCCAAAAACAAAAAATGGCTGGTAACTCTATGAACGCTGCTTGCATAGGAGTTTTCTTGTTAGCGGCGATTCTTTGTTTCGACCCTGTATAGATGCATGCACAATGAGAGGTTCCTGTTTTCCTGGACCGCCACTCCGTTTTGAAAATTATGATTCAAAATCTTTGAGCACTGGTTGATTTAAATGCTTCATGACAACCCAAGGGCAAAGCTTCTGAGTGGCTTGAGATTTTAATTCAGTCTATGAGATTACAATCTGTGAACGATGTTGCAGGAAAGAGTCCCGAGTCTTGCAGCTAGATTTGAGTCGCTATTCTGACTCTGCATTCAAATTCACCATTGTTCTCTCATGTTGATGGGGTGTCACCAAACCCCTTCCCTCGGCAGATTGGCTTTCAGTTGTGGTCCTGTGAAGAACATAGGTCTACCGATGTCAAAGCGTGGAAGCCCACCTGGGGGTTCTGGGCCGGCCAAAAAGAACATCAAGGAAGGGGTGGAGCTGCCATGGGCTTCAAAGACATACCAACAAGCGAAGTTACTAAGCTTAAAAGTGTTTCCAGAAAACATGTTGTATTGTGGAAACCATTTTTCCTGACTATATTTGGTCAACTGACCCCCAAGGTTGTTTGATGTCGCTGGTGGCCAACATCCAGTTCAAATGCTTCTAGATGATTTGGTTCCATCAATGTACGAGCCAATCCAGACTTGGCTTGAAGAGATCCTGCCTGCAGCTCCGCATCCGCTGAAGTTTGTGTACCCAGCTCCTCAACACAGACTGTGGGCACTGGGGGCGACACGATATGATCAAAGGGACTAATATTATTTAAAGTTGAAACATTGGGATTACGATAGTGTGGCAATCATCATCCCTGTTTCTGTACCCATGGCCATACTTAGTCACCACTGTCACCAACAACCTTCCTCTGAACCATTCCCACCCTCATCGCCAAAATCTTATTCATCTTCATGCTCGCCATCATCGCCACCATCATCATCATCATCATCATCATCATCACCATCACCATCATCATCATCATCATCAACATTACAATCATTACAATCATGATCACCACCTCACCACCACAACCATCCTCACCATCAAGTACATCGTAAAAAACACAAAACCAACACCCTTATCGACATCGTCACCACCATCAACATCAACAACACGATTAATATGACCGCAAAAAACGTCTTTGCCATCATCACCATCATCATCACCATCATCATCACCATCCTCATCATCATCATCACCATCATCACCACCACCATCACCATCACATCATCACCTATACTGTACGGTGGCCTGGTTGGTTTTACTAGAAAGGCGTTAGTGACTGTTTCGGGGATGCCTTTGCTTGATGGCGATAGCGATGGTGATGATGATGATGATAATGATGGTGATGATCATGATGATGGTGATGATGCGGATGATGGTGATGATGGTGATGATGATAATGATGGTGATGATGATAGTGATGATGATGATGATGATGATGATGATGATTGTGATGATGATGATGATGATGATGATGATGATGATGATGATGATGATGATGATGATGATGGTGATAATGGTGCTGATGATGGTGATGCTGGTGTTGATAATTGTGATGCTGTTGTTGATGATGATGATGATGACGATGATGTTGGTTATGATGATGATGATGATGATGATGATGATGATGATGATGATGATGATGATGGTGATAACGGTGCTGATGATGGTGATGCTGATGTTGATAATGATGATGCTGTTGTTGATGATGCTGATGACGATGATGGTGGTTATGATGATGATGATGATGATGATGATGGTGATGATGATGATGCTGATGCTGCTGTTGATGCTGATGATAATGATGATGATGGTGATGATGATCATGATGATGATGCTGATGCTGATGATGATGATGATGCTGATGATGGTGATTATGATGATGATGAGAATGATGCTGATGATGATGATGGTGATGGAGATGTTTATATTTTTTAATTACATGATGATCTTGTCGGTGACAATGGGTGCTCAGAGCCCCCTATGCATACTTTTGAGGTTGAGTCAGACGTGGTGGACATACCCCTTATGTGCCTTTGCTTCAAGAAGCCAGCTGATGGCCTTCCGATCTTTCATTCATGGCTGATGACCGCGAAGGACATCTTGTTTAGAGGATACGAGGGGTGGCGTGAGATTCCCGAGGTTCGAGCAGAGTCTGATGCCAAGGTCCCTGGGGAGACTCTGGGTTTTGCTTCGGTGGTCCCGGTGAAGGGGTTGGGTCGAATGTCAATCATACTCTGGAGCCTGCTGTGGGCCTACTTGCACAAGGACGCCATGGATGCTGATACCAAAGATGACTTCCGAAGGCGTCTTTGAAAATCCATGGACCATAAAATGACAATTTTGGGACCCCAAGAAGTTCTAGTCTATTCCCAAATATTATTTTGGGATCCCAAGAAACTTTCCCAAAATATTATTTTGGGATCCTAAGAAATTTTCCCAAAATATTATTTTGGGATCCCAAGATTTTTCCCAAAATATTATTTTGGGGATCCCAAGATTCTTTCCCAAAATATTATTTTGGGTTCCCAATTTTTGTTCCCAAAATATTATTTTGGGTTCCCAATTTTTGTTCCCAAAATATTATTTTGGGATCCCAATTTTTGTTCCCAAAATATTATTTTGGGTTATGATTCAAAATCACCAAAAAGCACCCAAAATATATAAAAGCATCGTGTGATATCACCCAAAAACTCCAAGTTTCTGACGTGATGGTCCGGGTGAAACCGTCGTGTAAACCCCAGGGTCAGGATGAAGCAATTATATTTAATTGATATTTTGGGTCTAATACAATTTGCAGATTTATAGCCCCAAAATATCCCAAATTAGGTATTTGATGGTAAATTTGGACTTAGAGCTATTTTGGGTGACTGACAGCCAAGCCAGTAGGCCTAAGCTGACGTGATGGTCTGGGTGGGAACGTCGTGTCAGAAATTTGATGATTCCAAAAAAAATTAAATGATGCTTTTATATATTTTGGGGATTTTCCAGAGTTTCCAGCCCTGGTTCCACGGGTCCTGGTGCCAGCAGGTGGCTGGATACCGTCAAGCTCCTGAAATGCAAGTTCACTGGCGAAACCCCGTCAAATTGCATCTGGCGACGAATGCAGGTGCATGAACAGCAAAGTGAACGCCAGCGCAAAAATGTGCTTCAAAAGGTCTTGACCTTTACGTTACGTGCCAAGGAAATGCAGTTCAAGGATTTGGGTTTCAAAACGACCCAAAGCATGTTTTGAAAATAAGTTCCCTTTCACTTTTAAAAGCTGCCACTGAGTGAGTTTGGTCCCTCAGGACCCCACCAAATTCCCGGAGGGGAAATTCAAAGATGCTTTCTTGGCAGCCATCCAAGAGTACAATTCTTACGGTCTTGCAGAGTTCAACGTCCGTTTCCGATTTGACGAAGCCGCACAGCTCCAGCTGTATGGCTTCAAGGCAACTTAGGGGTATGTTTTGGATTCCAAACTTTTCCATGATCAAGGGTCCAAATGTTTTACCATGGCCTGCCAATTTCATTTTTTTCGAGTTTTACATAATTTTGAAGATGAATCACTATATGTCACTCAAATTACACCCTGGCTAAGGGATCAAATTGTTTTAGAACCCTGATCAAAATGTCAGTCAGTAAACCCTTACTAGGTAGGGGGATTTCAGTCGTAGCCCCAAGATAATACCTGTAGGTAGGGGGTTCCTTAAATTCCTTCAGGGTCCCAACCCCCAGCTGCCCAATGCTTGTCCTGCAGAGGTTGGTGTGTGCGACCACGTCTTGGATGTCCTGGAGAAACATTGGCACGTTTTCAAATTCGAGGTATCAGGCAGGACACTGTGAATGGACATTTTGTGCATTTAGGGGATGTTTGTGTGGTTCACTGACATTAATTTGTTTCCAAAGGTAACATTTGAATTTTCCCCATGAACTGACTTAAATCCGGCTCTGAACCTGTGTCCCTGCAGCCTTTGCCAACAACCTGCTACTGGACCCTCGTTGGCTTTTGGGCGGTGTTTCCCGGGATCAAGTTGCGAACAGTTCGCATTTGTGGGGTAGCATCCTCACAGTTGATGTGATGAAGCAGGAGCTCTTTATTCACAGGGTGCTATTCTTGCACGAAGTTGCTACACGGCGTGCAGGTAAGGCCTCTAGTGTCAGGCTAAGCTTGCAAGAGTGGCACGCAGAATGTGACAAAATGTGTCTCCTGGGATTTGTCCTCTATGAAATGAAGCGTTGTGTGGATGGGAATGGGGATCGCCTGTTCTCAAACGATGTCCTAGATGATATCTGCAAACGGGCTGTGGAGGGGACCCTCATCTAAGATTGTCTATTTTATAGTTGTCCACCGGCTAGACAATAGGATTCCAATTTGACAGAATCATACATCTTGTGTTTCGAGATTTTACACACTAAGGGACTACAATGTTGAAGCGGAATCTTTCCTGAAGACATTGGACGGGCAGTTTCGCATGGAACAGATTACGCTTTACACAGAAAACGCCCCAGCGCCCAAAGACGAAATCAAGGAGAAGGTCATGCTGGTGGATGAGAAGGTGCAAAGTCTCAATGCTGATGCCAGGCGTGCACAGTATGAGGCTGATACCCTTTCCCTTGCCAGGGATGTTGCACAGATCGGGCACTTGTACCGTGAGGTGGCCAAGACAGAGCACGCCCTTCGAACTGAACGAATCTCTCATCTTCGGGGCCAGAACTGCATCGGTGCATCTTTAGTTGCTGACTTTATGGCAAACAACATGGCAGTGCACGGGGGCAACTGCAGAGATCAAATGTCCCTTGCTGAACGGGCTCGGTGTTTCAAAAGCATGTTGCTTTAAATTTTGCAAGTTAACCCCTTGATGTTCGATATTCAAATTTGATTGTGTCCCTTGCCCCTGCAGTTCTTGGTGCGGCATCCAACTTTCCCTGCCGTTATTTGGTGTGATTTGATGAAGTGCGGACGCATGACAGGGTCCGAGGTGAACGACTTCGCGGAGCTATTGGCATGCATTTTCAAGAAGCACCCTCAAACAGTCGCAATCGTAATAGGGCCGTACTTGGTATCCGAGAAAGTCCAAGGGTACAGGGGAGAACTGAGGACTTCTGGTCGAAATTGTTTTGTTATGACCAATGTTAAGAAAATGAACTTCCAAGAGATATTAAGAAGAGGACACCATATGGGGAACCCCAAGTATGAACATCTAAATAGGGACAGTGGTGAAGCAAACATGAGAAATTAAGTCTTGAATGCTTCTCTTCCAAGAAACACATTACTCACGCTCCAGGCGTTGGGAGGACAAAATGGATGCCAAGGGCTTGAAGCAGCATGCCATCGTGATCCGCTGTCAAGCACCAGCAGGACGGCGGAAAGTTCCACTTCATTTCGATGGCTGGGTGATTCATCAGGACGCTGGCGCGGCGGACAATGTCTTTGCAAATTGTCAGCTGGTTCAAGACAGGTTCCAGGGGAGGGATTGAAGGGTGCTTCTGGATCGTTGCCCTTTGAACATGTTTTCAGATCAACATCAGAATTTATTATCAATGGCTAGAATTGTGATTAACTTTGAGCTGCGAACCAAATATTATGTGGAGGCTGTATGAGGTCCAGCTTTGCAAACCACACCAAACACCAGTCACTACCAGTCCTTCGCCAACCACATCTGCAGGTCCAATAGATCTGAGCTGCCCTGGATGCCTGAAGCCGCGTACATCGTACCGGTTGCAGAGAAAAACTCTTTACCACACGCTTCCGAAGGGGCCAGGCCTGCTCAGTTGGGATTGCCCGACCATTGGTGAGCTTTAATTCAAATCCTTTTGGGAAATTTCATAAACGTTCAATATAATTCTTACTCCAGTTCTCATGGGCATCATCTGGTGGGTGTGGTTGCAACCCAATTGCGTGGTGGGTATGTTTCACATACCCAAGCCTTCATCGGCAGGTCCCTTTCTGATGTGCAGGAAGCTGCGCAACTCCTGGCAGGGGAGGCCCTGCCGCTGGCAATGTTGTCCGCCATCTTGGGCAAGACAGGGGTGAAAGAAAAATATGACACCTGCTTACTGATCAACTTGACGTCCTATGATGGCTGGGTAGAGAAAACAGCTAAGAGGTGGTCCGAACTCTCAGGGTGTCCCATGAAATGGAAAATTCTCAGCATGACAAAGAACATCGTGACAGCTCAGTATGTCGAGCGTACTCTTGCTCTTGAGTTGATGGAGGACAGCGCAAATCGTGTTGAAAACATTGTTTGAATAATTATTTAATTCCAAACAATTTCTTGGGACCAAAGATTTCTCAGGCCTCCGCCCCCAATGCCCGATCACTAGCCTTCTGAACCAGGAGTGGAAAGCTGGCAACCATGCCACACTTGGCCAGGTTCGGCCTTATGAGGCGAAGCCACCACCAGCCACAGGGAATGGGAAGGATGTGGACCCTACCAAGTTCCCTCTTCGCCTTGTACGCCTTGACTACGACCCAAATCCTGCCCTCAAGGGTTGGTCCAAGTTTCGCATATCGGTACCACCCAATGTGCGGGCTCGATACATGGATGATGCTGTTTATGGAGAGGAATGGCTCAAACTCCTGAATGACTTTGATTCCAAGTCTTTTGTCTCAAACGATATCATCAATCTTCCAAATCCAGTGAAGCCATTTTGCAGGAATAAAACCAATTTTTTGACGTGTTGACAACATCACATTAGATCAAGTGCCTCAAGCCCTTCCTGCTGAGGTATGGGACCCGATCTCAAGAAGATCTGAAGGCTGCCATGGCCTTGAAAGCGAAGGAGGAGGAAGCAGAGACATCAAAGGTTGCATTGGAGCCGTGGGTGAATGAGCCGGATTCTGTCGAACAACTACTGCAGAAGTATATCCTAGAAGGGAAGTTTGCAGGAAGGGTTCCAGGAACCACCCTCTTCTTAGTGCAAAGCAGGAACCGCGATGGTACCTACCACCAAGTGGTTGAGAATCAAAAGTTCAAATTGTTCCTGGTGCCCCGGCTAGACATATAAGTGGGTGTGGCTTATAGAACCTCTAATCACACATCCCCATTAACTGGTAAAAACCATCAAGAATCAACACCATCCATATTACCCTTAAACCTATAGAAAGTATCTGGGACCTGTGGAAAACGAATCTTCTATGATATCAACTAAGGTGGCCCACATGCCATTGACTTTGTCATCCATGGAGTTTCAGCTGGCACATGGAGCCAGCAAATTCTTGAAGGGCGACAAGGTTTCAGCACTGAAACGGCAGGAGAAGAGCAGTACTTCCGGCCTGATTATAGCAACAGCAATCTAAGTGCAAACCAGTTGTTTGTCAAACCAGCTAGCACCCAAAGCTGCACAATACTGATCGCCGTGATCTTGGCTCTGAATCGTAGTCTTAGATCTGTTGGTGTTCGAGTGAAACAATCCCTTTGGGGAAGCTGAGCAAGCATGTCTCAGTCACCCATAGAAAGTTTGTTGGCTGCGTACGGCTTTGACAAGGACTGGCACATGGATATGTTTTACTTTCGACATGTGTTTGTAAAAAAAAATACCTACTGTTTAGAAGTCGATTGTAAATTTCACTCCTTTCTCTGCTCTGGTGTTGCCTGCAGTGTTTGTGAGTCTACCACAAAGCCCCTATTGAGTCGGTTGGGTTTCTGTGTTGCTGTTTTTTCTGCTTCGTGCAGTGGTGGTGCTTGTTGTTGTGATGATGGTGGTGGTGTTTGTCGCTGTGCTTATGCTGACCTTGTAGTGTTTCCTCCTTTCCTCTCTGTTCTTGATGAATGGTTGTTGGTTCTTGATTCTTGGCCTGGGATCTGACTTTCTGCTCTGTCTTGTCCTTGTCATGACGGTCATTGCTGCTGTTGACCTCCTTTGCATTTGACGTCCTTGTCATGTTGGTCGACAGTTGCCTGCTGCTTGTCGGTTGTAACTTTTTAAGTGTTGTCTGATTGTTGGGGTTGATCTACAAGTGTTTGAATTTTGTATTCATTGACATTTGGTATTGTTCGTAGTGACACTTAGTGAAATTTTGTTGTGAGATGTTTTGGTGGTAGGACCTGGGAACCGTTGCAAACGACAGCCCAGCTGCCTTTCTGACACCGCCAGCTCGGCGATCAGCACGAATCTTACTTGACAACTTGGAGAAAAACACAATTGGATGCTGCACTTTGATATACAGTATATATCGTGTATATGTGTATATATGTCTATATGTATATATATATATATATGATATAGGCATCCCCATCTTTCGCAATCTTCCTCCGCCTTGCGGCAACCCCCTGCCAAGGCTCAGGCTTCAGATGGATCAACGCACTCTTCGGCTGCTGCCCAGGCCTGACACAGGCGTGCATACCGCTCAATTCAACATGGTTTCCCCCACTATGACAGGAGCAAGAGTCAAAGGAGAAAGCGTTGAGGATGAAAGATCTGTCAGGGCCGTCAGGGGAACCTTCTGATTCCACCAAAGTGAGACTGGAGTTTGGAGGTGAGTCCAGGAGTGATGAAGGTGAAAAAAAACCAGCTGGCAAAGCCATGCCAATGACTGTCAACTCATGCACTTCTCGGTCAGACCCAGCTCTGTCAGAGAGCAAGCATGCCGAACTTGAAGCGTCAATCCAGGCTGTAAAGGCCGACCAGAAAAAAGAGAGAAAGGAAGCAAAAGAGGAAGACAAAGCCACACGGGCAGAGAAAAAGGATCCAGAGGGAAAGAAACCGTCCACAAGACAGGTGAAGCCAAAGATGACTGCAAAGTCTGCAGTATCAAAAAGAGCTGCCGCCAAAAAGAAGATTCAGGATGAAGACGAAGGGTCCAACAGTTTGGATTCTGAAGAATCCCCCACCAGCGAGGAACTCCCATCAGAATCTGATGATGACGGATGTGCTGCACCGACCGAACCCAAGGCCGGCCGCTTCTATTGCAATCCTATTCCAGATTTATCTGTTACAATCCTTTTCCAGACATATCTAAGCAAACTCATCTCCACTAACCAGAAGTTTTCCTTTCGCAATGCTTATTAATTATATAAAGGGTACCAGCTTCCACCTTTGGTGCCGTTTCCAATCCGGGGTCATCCCTGTATGCCAGGACCAGCCTGCAAAGACCTCGGCCAAGCTCCCTCCAAAGGATGCTCCTGCCGAGAAGCCAAAGAGAAAGAGGGTGCCAAAACCGGTCGTTGAGTCGAAGGATCCAGACACCAAACGCAAGCTGGCAATTGCCAAAGCTGTGGGGTGTGTAGCCAGACAGTCCGAAAAAGATGAGACAAAGGAAGGAGAGGTCCCAGCAAAGAAGGCAGACGAGACGGCAGTTGACGATACCCAGGTGCCCTAGACCAGGAAGGCAAGGAAGGCAAAGGAATCAAAGGAGGCTAGCGCAAAGAAGGCACAAGCAGCCGAGAAGGCGAGGGCCTTGAAGGCAGCTGCACAAGAGAAGGCGGAGGCAAAGAAGGCAGCGAAAGCTGAGAAGGCAGATGCAAAGAAGGCTGCGACAGTTGAAAAGGCAAAGGCAAGGAAGGCAGAGGCCGCAGTGAGGTTGCAGGAAAAGAAGGCAGATGCAGCAGAGAGGTTGTTGATACAGACAAAGACAGCAGAAGATGCCAATGTAGAGATGCATGTCACCAAGAAGGAGGACGCGCCAGGACACAATAGCAGGCAAAAGGATTCCACTGAGGAGGAGATAGGTTCAGGTGCAATGCAAGACAAAGACAATGCTGAGGATACAACCCAACTTCAGACCCCAAAGTCCCCCGAGCCAGAAGAGAAGGTGGAGGAGACGCTTGGTGAGGAAAGCAAGGCAAGGTCGAAGAGGAAGGCCGATGACTGGAGCAAGGTATCCCAGACCAGGAAGGCAAAAACAGCAGAGTCAGCAGCAGAGAAGGTGCATGCTTTGAAAACAGAAGAATGGAAGGCAAAAGCAAAGGAGGCAGCTGAGAGGTTATTAAAGACACAGAAGGCAAAGGCAACAGAAGAGGCCAAAGCAGGGATGCATGTCTTCAAGAAGGAGGACGCGACAGGACACAATGACAGGCAAACAGATTCCACTGAGGAGGAGACAGGTTCAGGTGCAATGGAAGAGGATACAACCCGGCTTCAGACCCCAAAGTCCCCCGAGCCAGAAGAGGAGAAGGTGGAGGAGACGCTTGGCGAGGAAAGCAAGGCAGGGTCGAAGAGGAAGACCGTTGAAAAGTACAAGGGATCACAGGTGAAGGCAAAGGCAGAAAAGAAGGTGAAGACAACAGCACAGTCTTCAAAGAGGAAGAAAAATGCAGCAAACGATGACAAGCATGAGGATTCCGACGCTGAGGTTTCAGAGGAAGACAGACCCAAAGTGGAGGATAGCACCGAGGATGAAACACCGACCGGAAAGAATGGAAAGAAACCCCAGGCCCGAGGCAAGAAAAAAGAACGTAAAGGCAAGAAAGTGAAGGGACCAGAAGGTGATAAGGAGAAGGCGCCAGGAATCTCATGGGCATGCTTTTCCCCTTGACACATCACTAAATTTGATACGATCCGGGGTGGTATGTAAAAATTTGCAGCCGACCAGGCCAATCATAAACTTTCATTCAATGGAATTGCAACGAACTTGAACCAATAGTTTGAACCAAATTTATCAACTTTCATTCAATGGAATTGCAATGAGGGCTATCCCCCCTATCTAGGCACAAAATTATGTAGGACCTTTTCACTGAGTCTTCACACAAGAATAAACCCCATCCAGCGGATTCACATCCTACTTGGAGGATCATCCCACATAGTAACATAGTACTGGTTTGTAACTGGGATTATCATCCAAATATGGGGTAATCTTTGTTAGGGAATTTACAGTTATTAAGTGGGATGAACTTCCAAGTAGCCTCAGCTTCCCCAGTCCTTCCACAGTCAGTCGATCTCGTTGTCAGGCCAAGCCTGGGACTCCTGGGCGCGAAGGCTTGAGAGATACCTACTGGAACCACATCACAGAAGCCAGAGAGCGCTTACGGGCCCTCCACCCTGAGAAGACCAAAACGGACATCCTACAAATGGCACGTGCTGAGTGCATGCCTCAGCATTTAGTTTTTTTTTCCGGGGCCCCTAATTCCCAACAAAGGGTTTTGGAATAAAAATTGGTCGGGTGTTGTATTCAAAAACAGTCATCTTTGGAAGCATCCTTCCTTGAATTCCATCAAAAAGGTCATCCATTCCTATCCCTAATGGCCCTAATGACCCTGATATACTGACAATAAATAGTATAATAATACATTTATATGTAACGATATGTGTTAAGTATATATATATATATATTCACATATATATATATATATATTATACACCAAGCAATAGCGTATGATAATGTATCAAATGTCTGACAGCAAGGGCAAGTACATTAAACAATCATTAGGTAGCTAAAGGCTAAAAGATATATGTATCTACACACACATACATTCACACATAGGATGGTACATAAGTAGTGAAACAACGATACATCCATGCATGGGTGCATAGGCACATGGTTCCATAGATGCATGCCGCATAGATGCATAGACATTTCACCTATTAATTAGAGAATACCGACATATATTTCAAACATACAGAGGGACAGAGACAGAGACAAACAAACAAACAAACAAACACACAAACAAATATTCAAAGAAACAGAACTACAAACTTAAAATGCACACTTTCATCTACACCTCAGCAAACACACACAGATACATGCATATATGCGTGCCTTTTTGAGTAGATGCGCAGATACACACCTACATATCTTTCTATATAGACTCGTGCACACACACACACATGCATGCCTGCATGCATGCATACATACATTCAGACATTCGATACATACAGGCATACCAACATGGAGGTTCACACCCACGGGAAAACACCCGCCATGCACATGTTTTTACAAACCACAACATGCATACATTACTATATTGTTACATTCTTACATACAATCTTACATACATACATTCATACATATATGCATACACACATACATACATTACATACATGCATTACATACATGCATACATACATGCATACATACATGCATTACATACATACATACATACATACATACATACATACATACATACATACATACATACATACATACATACATACATTCATACATATATACATTACATACATACATACATACATACATTCATACATACATACATACATACATACAAACACACATACATACATACATACATACATCCATACATACATACATGCATACATACATGCATACATACATGCATGCATACATGCATGCATGCATACATACGTACATACATACATACATACACACATACACACAAACATACATACATACATACATACATGCATACATGCATACATGCATACATACATGCACACATACACACATACATACATACATACATACCATACATACATACATACATACATACATACATACATACATACATACATACATACATACATACATACATACATACATACATACATACATACATACCTACATACCTACATACCTACATACCTACATACCTACATACCTACATACCTACATACCTACATACCTACATACGTACCCACATACGTACCTACCTACCTACCTACCTACATGCATACATAAATACATTCACCAATACATATAAACACATTGGACATATAGACACATATAGACACATATAGACACATATAGGCACATAAAGACACATACAGACACATATAGACACACACACATATATATATATATACCTACATACATACTGTGTTTTCCTGAACCCATATGATTTGTATATATTCTTATCTCTCTATACTTCTATGACCCTGCTCAGGTGGAAGAACCATCCGGAAAGGGTGGGCAGTATGAAAAACATGACCAGGTCTGAGCTTAGCAGGCGCCGTTTGGCCCCTAAAAAGCCACCTTCACCCATTAAAGAGCCAGCAAAGCCAGCAGAGCCAGCTGCCGGCGAAGCCGAGCTGGATGAGTCTCATGAGTTGGGTGATGAACTTGATACGATGTTCTCCGAAGTTGAGGAACAAGAAGAACTTTTGCTGGCCGAATTGTTGGCACCATCAGATTCTGAGAGCTAAGTTTCCTTACAGAACTTTTGATATGAAATCTACGACGGGTTGCCGGGAACATAGCCTGGCCAAGCAGCTTAGATCTGATCCAATCACCCGTGGGGAAGGGTGTGTTGATTCCGAGATGTCAGATCGGTGTGCGGAGAAAAGAAACGGGTTGACGATCAATTGGAACCATGAGGTCTTTCATGTTAAAATACTCAGCATGACCCAATTATGACTCTCATACATGATGTTACCAAAAAGTTAGACCCCAGAAACTTAGGAGTTTTAAAGGGATACCGTGTGGCTCCATCACATTTCTGTTAACCTGCCAGGTGAACTTTCCCGGTTGATGGTCTGCCAATGGACGTCCGAGGAGCAGCATGTGGTTCTTGAGGTTCCCGATGGCGAGGACTCCAAGTCAACCTCGGATTCGGAACGCACCAGCTGGGCACAACTTCTCCAGGAAATGGAGGAGAACAAGGTGAGTGATCCAACGATCAACCAGCATGACCTGCATGCCCCTGTCACTGATGATGGTGCAACCCCCAGTTTGAGGATTTGTTTTTGAGTCATCATCCTAGGAAACAAGATGGTGTGGAGAAGTGGCAATGAAGTCCCTTTTCTTTCATCAGATTCCAGGTCGACACCGCTATTTGATCAAGCCGAAAGCCGCGCCCATCTACTTCCAGTATGCCGGGGTGACTACCAACTTCAAGTACACCAACTGTGCTTCTGCTTTCACTACTGAAGCCACTTGGACTTCAATGTCAAATGGAAATTGCTTGGTTTTCAATGACAAGTGAACTCCCAAACTAAAGGTAAACTCCCATGCAGTGGTGCAGCCCAAGCTATTGGTGGAACTGGCAGCCATATCACACGGGCCCAAGGAGCTTGATGCAAGCCGAGTTTTGACGAAGGTCTGGAGGGTATTTTACCACAAGGAGAGCAATGTGCCTTGCCATATTCATTTGTTTGATTCATTCTATTCTATTTCCACCTCCTTTCTCCATTGCCTTCTCTCCACTGCCCTCTTCCCAATCTAAGTGCGCCACTAAGGAGATTTCACCGCGCCACTCAGCATAAGCATTGGAATGGTGCAATCTGAATTAAAATTAATTCCTATGCGCTGCACATGTCATTGCTCAATAGTTAGTCTTAGTTCATGTCCATGCCATGGGGTTGAAACCCAAGGAAAGCCGTTGTATTTCTTCGATTCCGACATTGACATGGCAGAAGGTGCTGTCTTGCGCCTGCTGTGAATGTGGCTGATCACGCCATAATATGGGTTGTTCCAATGTTGCCGCGAGCTTGGGGATGATTCAGCCTTTCTTTGAAAAGAGCTGACCAAACTTTTGCTCCCACCGGTATAGAGTGGTGATGATGTTGATGATGTTGATTAAACACTGCTCAAATATTAAAAACTAAACAATGCTGTAACCTCATTCTGGGGATAGCAGGTATGCACAATATTTCAATAGTGAAGTTTGATGACCACTCAGCTCCACAAGCCGGTGTGGAACTGTTTTGCTTTGAGATGGCAACGAGGATCGCTCAGGGTGAAAAAAAGGTGCGCTTGTCCAATCCAACTTGGTCACCATTTTTTGCAAAACCTGAATAGTATGAAATTGGCCCTGAATATGATGAAATTGCCTTTATTTTAATTATAATATAATTTTATATAAATTTTCTAATATATATTATATATATTTAAAAAATATATATATTTATTCATTTTATATATTTATTATTAAATTTATCTTATTATTTAATAATATAATATATAAATTATATATATAAATAAGATAATTAATTTGATAAATTTTATAATCATAAAAATAATATAATTATATATTTCGGAAATAAAAAAAAAAACAATTTGAATATTGTACAAGAATTCATTGTATAAGAATTTGAGGGGCTCAATTCCAAGGCGGGCTATATATTTTCAGCTATACCAAGCACATAACACGTTAAGAATTTGAGGGACCCTGGAATAGACAAGCCTGGCTTTGCAGAAACAATTTTTCAGGCTCTAAAAAATTGTTTTTTTTCTTATGAAACTCAAACAAGCCTGCCTTTGCAGAAAAACAATTTTTCAGGCTCTAAAAAGTTGTTTTTTCGCATGCCTCTTGTCAAATCTGCCAACTCCACCTCGTTTCCTCGTTTAAGCTCGCTCCAAATTATGCAGATGCCTGCAATACAAAACTAAGAATGCCATAAGAATTTGAGGGACCCTCGGCCTGTTGTAGTGTAAATTTGCCTCTATTTAAAAATAAGAATTTGAGGGACCCTGTACCTCAAGCTTTCGGATTCTTAACCAAGGCTCGGGCTGTAATACGGCGGAATATGAATTCTCAGGATTAATTTCCCAGCCAGCCCCCACCCAGCCCCTGAAGGTTGATCAAAGGTTGAACCAGATATTTCCTGGATGATTTTTTGACCAAAATCGACCAAAGAATTTTCCAGTATCCTCAGCGACAAGGGAAATTTTGAAGAGTTTATGGAACAGTTCAAAGTTGTTCAACATATTTTCAACGTCCTTGGTGTAAGTTCTTGTGTTTGCTTTCCCATCACAAAATGCTTCTAGGCACGAAGCTTCTCAGGTGATCAGGCTTCCGTCCGTTTGTGGCCAGGAAAACGAAAACCTAACGACAGAGCTCGCACAGGACCCAGATCAACTTGTCTTGTTGGCCTGCACTGGCCTTCCCTGGCCTTCACTGACCATCTGCACAGGACCCTTTTGATCCGGTAATTTGGATGGGGATTGATGCTATCCTTCGCAGGTGATACCGCTTTCACCTGTCAAAATTACTCCACCTGCGAAACCTAAACCTGAGGCGAAGTTTCAGAGAAAATGATTAAATGTATCTTAAAGTCTTCAAGTCTCAAAGCTTATGCTAGTTGGATTGGTTGGCGTTGATGGTAAAAGGTCCTCATTCTTACCTCGCCATCGCAAGACCGTCCTCCAAGATCCTCCAAAGCCTGAAAGGGAAAGCCGTGTTAAGCAAGATCTACATTAAAGAAAACATAGACACATAGACATGACATATACGTCTCCCAGTGCCAAGCAAAATCCATGCTGATCAGCAATGCAAACAAACATCGCGCGCATGTTGCGCAAATTCTCCTCCTGAAACAGCCTGGAAGGCAAACAGATATGACTTTACTAGGCAAAGATGCACATCGAATGCGGGGGAGACTAGGCTGAGATGCAGCGTGGCTCTGCCCGGAATCGATACCATGTTTGCCATAAAGGTTCTTGTCTAGCATTTACTGTAGGACCTGTACGAGCAAACCTTGCTGTATCTTGCTGTATCTTGCTGTATCTTGCTGTATCTTGCTGTCCATCCGGCTCTTTTCCACCGCATCACTCGTCTCTCTGCATCATCTTGGGCTGTACGAGTACCTGTCACAAACGACTTGCAGCAAAGAACGTTTTGACCGTGCAGTCAGTCTCCTGTCCGGTGAAGCCATGTGAAGCCATGTAAAGCCCTTCGAGTGGCTTCAATCCATTTCAATCCATTTCAGTCCATTGGGGCACTCTTCTGATTCTTGGGGCACTCTTCATGCTGGATGTGATGACCCAGCTGGCCGCTGTTCACGCCAGACTTCCGCAGCGATTTTCACCATGAAGGCAGAACCTCAGAAAGATTCAGAACAGGACGGCACAGGCATGCAAAGGCCAGATCAGGGAAAGCACCTGCAGGTTTTCCTTTTAAAATAACATATCTAGAAAATATTAAAAAATGGCAGCTTCTTTTGGCCAAGATCGGCCAAGCCACACACGGCTGTGACGATACCACCAAGGGTAATAATCATCCCAATCTGTCCAATCTGTGTCTTGTCCCATCGCTCCTCATTCCAAATCCTCAGCGCAGAAACAACGGAAACAGATCGGTGATCACAACTTGAGGGTGAAGCCTTGGGAAACAGAGCCGACTGACCGGCCGACCAATAAAACACAGTGATCACAGGTGATCACCGAGCGGCACAGCGGAAGCCATTGCAATCAAAAGAAGTGCAGTGGCAAGCAGCCCCAGTTCCTGAAGCAAGTAGTGGGAGGCCATGGGAAAATACGGTGGCAATGTTCAGCCTGTTCAACTTCCCATGTTTCAAACCTAAACAATGCCTTATTAGTTTGGAATAGCTCCACGCATCGTGATAAAACGTGAGTGAGAAACACATGTTGCACTGTCCGGAAGCCTTGATCTTTGTGTTTTAACCCCAAAGCTAATCCAAAGTCTAAAGGCTTTTGTGGCTTTCTCCACTTAGTCGTGTCCAATCCGAGAGAAAAGTTTCGCTCCAATTCCACAGTTGTTGGCGGTAGGGCTGGAAAACGCCATACACAAGCATGGACGCACCGGTGACGATGGTCAGCGACGTCATCTGCAGCGATGGGAAGGTCGTGCTGGGATACAGCGCAGCCGCTGTGGCAAGAAGCACTTTCCTGGCCAAACACATGTTTTGCAGCCAAGCAAGGAATTCTTAAGCCAATTCTTGAGCCATACACATGTGTATATATATATGATTCCGATTGGGAACCGGGTTGCCACAGTGAAGCCATGTGAAGCCCTTGGCATGCCCTTGGCACATGAGATAGCGAATCGCCTGATCAGGCGCTCGGCTTCGAAGTAGCGCCGGCCCTGGCAAGGTTTAAACAAGGCCAGGGCGCCTGAATTCTTGTGAAACCGCGACATTGTGACATGCTTCCATATTATTAAGTTGGCAGGAACCAGCATGAATATAGCACCAATAAGCCCCTTTTTCGCTCTATTGTTGCAAGGCATGTCGCGTGTTCCTTTCCTGTACTTTATGGCTCCAACACCAGAGATTCACAAAATTGAAGCCCTTGGGTTTTTCAACCAGCGCCCTCGCTACTGTGATCTGCGCCATTCTGCACCTCTGCATATTTGCGGGTCAGGAACGCCACGTGGCTAGGAAGTTCATCCTCCTTGGTTGCCTCTGACGAATTGTGTAACTGGATTCAGCAAATGAAACAAGTCGATCTTATTGCTTGGTTTCACTCTGTTCCGAGTCTTCCTGGATACAATCCGTGTTGGAACAAATCCGCAACTTGCAAAAAGACATCCATGCCCCAAGAGCCAGATTTCCCATAAATCGATTTATTCCCACATTTCAGACGGAAACTCATTGCAAACAGGTACAGTATTGATTCGTCATTGACCTAGTCCGATCTACCGATCGTTTGATTCGTTTCAAACTCTGACAGTAGACTCAGTAGACATGGCTTGGAACAGGCATGGCTTGGTGATTTGTGCGCCTCCTGAGAAGTCGATAGCTGGATCCACAGAAATCTCAGTCCAAAGGTCGGGCTTGGAAAACTCGCACGGATGCAGCTTCTGCAACATGGCACAATCTCAAATGAAAGATAGCAATGGGATATCATATGGGATATCATATGGGATCAGATGTTGATTGAAAGAGAACCTGTCCAACAAGATCCGACACCAGAGACTTCATGGATTTTTTCAAACATTTGCCGCAAAGGTCAGGGTCATAGATGGATATAGATGGATATAGATGGATATAGATAGAACTTATTTCTCATCCGCTGCTCAAAAGCTGTTTCAAGGCTTCGAAGCTCACCACAAGTCAAAACGAGTCAGCGCCAGCAGGGAAATGTTGAAATCAAAATTCGACAACAACTCTATGCTTCACTCATATCGACTTGGCTTGTTGACTTGCATCACACGTCACATCATATCCCGTCAAATGAATGTAACGCAAGAAAACCAGTCGGAACAGCATGTCGAAAACACCTTGAATGAATCATCCCAACAGTTTGGATCAGTTCGGACTCCAACTTGTTGGTCCTCATTCTCCAAACAGTACGGCCTGTATGTTCTCAGAACAAGGAACAGAGACACCGCAAAAACTGCGAGGAAACTGGCGGCAACCTCAGTCGCTCAGTCGCAACTACAAAATAGGACACAATTTCTGAAAATAGTCGATTGAAACATGTTGAAACCCTTGCAGAGCAGAGATTGGGAGGCACAGAAAAGCTTTCAAACTGACTATATGCATCATATGCATCTCCATTCCCACGAGCAAAGGTTGTAGAGTCCAACCGGTTCTGCTGGAACACACGAAGTTCATATCATAAATCAAGTTGATGTTTTAAGCGACTAGCCCAGAAACCAAAACAAAACATGGTAATCATTGTTTATCCTGAATACTGAGCCCGGTGCTGCAATGAAGCCAAGAAGATTACCGAAAGGCAAGTGCGGCAAGTGGTTGCAAATCAGACGGTCCGTTCCACCTGTTTGTTCTTCTTCCAACCTGTAACCTCGGTGAAACAATAGCAACAGGGGCGTCCAGGGGTGAGAATAAGACACGGGATAGCCTCACTGCACCTACAAGCTGACTACAGCTGACTGGTAGGATGCCTTTCCAACATTTTCCAGTCCTTCGCAGTGTGAACGTTGCGCCAAGCGGCACACGGCATATTTGGCGATGTCTGCCAGGATGCCAGGCAGAAAGCAGTTGAGGCCTCTGTGACGGGGCCAAGGCGGCCAAGGGCCAAGCTGACCCAACATTGACAACGACATGGCAGGCAGATGAAGGCAACGCCAGCAGAAACGAGCAAAACCAAGCCTTGCAAAGTCCCAGGGTCTTTCTTTTTTTCTGGATGCTGTTACGAGAAACGTTGATGCAGAGAATGACATGAAAAATATGTTAGAGAAAAGGTCCCAATCTCAACCGATTTCGCTTTTTCAAATTGTTCAAACAGGCGCTATTAGCAAATCTTCGTTTGCTGCATCCGTTTGCATCTGCAACATGATCAACATGATCAACATGTGCCTGCCACCAAGGCCACTCGAAAGTCCTTCAAGGACAACAGCAGGACCAAAGAAGTTGCGACCACCTCAGGGGGCAAAGCCCAGTCCTGTACAGTCACAGTGTACTGGGGCGACTCCGAACACATCTGAGATACATCTGATGTTGGTGTTTCTATGTGTTTTTATGTGTTATGTCGATGTTATCTGATGTTATACTATTTGTTGTTATCTGATGTTATCTTATTGCTTCATGTTGCTTTAATATTGCACATGATATTGCAATTGCTCCGAGCAGCAAGGTCCAAACAATGCACTCCAGGCAATCCGGTCGCTTCCTGGGTGTCAAATCACTCAGGGATCGTAGTACATCGTACAGCGTCGGACCATTCGATTCACCAAGGCACCAAGCCCAGGTAGGAAAGCAGGCAATGGGACGAATTGGATCCTGATGAGCCACGCTACATTGCAGCTACATTGCAGCTACATGGCATGTTGCTTCTTTTGGAAACTTGGAAACTTGGTTGGCTGATGACACCAGAATGAATCACAGACTGAGTGCATGAAGGCATCCCGTGACTATGTCGTTGCCGCATCTCCAATTGCTCTGAGTCTGTTGAGTCCTTGTCCGGATACGGCGTCAGAAAGGAATACAGCTATGCCATAAAGATATTCAACCTCGAAGAAGCGTGCCCGGGTTCAATGAAGCGTCGAAAGAAGGGGAATGGGAACATGTTCTCTTTTTGCACTTTCCATACCAGCTGTGGACTGATGTCAAGTACGTTTGCACTTTCAAAATCAGTTGTCATAATGTCATACACAGAAGAGTTGACTTGGTGTTTCCCATGTCACCTGCCGAAGATTGGGACCGTAGATTGGGATGTCAAGGCTGTGGTGTCGCACTGTAGCATGGTGTAGCATGGTGTAGCATGGTGTAGCATGGTGTAGCATGGTGTAGCATGGTGTAGCATGGTGTGGCAATGTGGTGTAGCAATAACGGTTCCTTTTGCGGTTCCTTTTGCGCCAAGGAGCAGCTACATTTTTGACCGTCTGAGCAGTTTCCTTGGACACTTAGGATGACTCAGGGAATGACTCAGGTCCAACTGGGAAAAATCGTGGGTGCGGTTGAAATGCCACCACTTGGTATCACACAATGTAATGTATTCCAATGGTCCAAGCTTGATCCTTCATCCTGCGTTGTGTGGGGCTGGAGCTGAAAACTTCATAATTATTTCTACTAAGAGCTCCAGAACAGGAGAAACAAAAGGAAAGCATAATATGAAGGGCAGAGAAGGAAGATCACAAAATCGAAGCTGCTGAATAAAAGCAACAAAAAACAAATTCAAATGATTTCAAATGACGTCAAATAAAGTCACCAAGGAAGCAAATTACAGAACAAACGGATCCCGAAATGGTGCGCTATGGAATTGACAACTTTCAGCGAAAGTTACTGAGCTCGGAAGCCTCGGCATGTCTTTTTCCGTGGCCCAACATGGCCCATGGCCCAACTCACGCCGTGACTCTGTCTGCATCACGGAGGTGACGACGCAGCCCGACACTGATGCGAAGGACATGAGTTGATTGAGGTACACCCCGCTGTTCTTCACACGGTCCGCCTCGGTGACGCCAGCGAACGGCAATATTTGCCATATATATACAGTATATTAGTGTCATATATGGCATAGATATAGTTTCGGCAGCTGTGGAAAATGAGCAAACATCTGCCGCCTCTGAAAGTTGGAATACATAAGTTGCATAAGCATCGTTTCTGGTTTTGCAGCTGCTATGTCTACGCCAAGAGGCATGTCCTGCTCGGAAGATGATGGCAGCAGAGACGGCAAATAGGACGACGCGTTGACCAAGGAAAGAACACCTGGGACGGGCCCACAGGGGATCCCAGGGGCCAGATGGTTCTAGCACCAAGCCATCAAAAGTTTCCAGATTTTCCAGAACTTGGACTTTCGGAAACCATCAGAAAACATCAGAAACCATCGACACACCATCGGAAACCATCGCACTCCCATGGTTTTGTTTCGCGTATCCGAACGATGGTGCAGTCGTGGTTAGCGGTATCTATTCTCCGAGCGTCCATTGCAGAAGCTGGCTCGCAGTGTCAGGGGCGCAGGGAGTACCTTGTAAGGAGTGCTTGAGAAACATCCACTTGACACATCTTGACACATGGTTTGCTGCAAATGGCGAGACTATGCCAAACTAAAGGCATTAAAATTACGACCAAGGCTCTTCAAGTTGTTGGAAAGGCTTTGGGCGAGGGGTGGTAAAGAACACGGAAATTGTGTTTGGAAATTCGACATGGATATCTCTGCCGTGACATATGATGACACATTGTTTTTTTATTGCGCCGAACTCACTTGGCCAAGGGGCACGCAAGCACGCTGGAATCGGGCATCAGGTACAAGGTGCCTTCGTCTCTCACACAACTGGCGCAGCCTTCTCCACCTCACTTGGATGCTTGGAGGGCGACATACTTGATTCTTCCAAGGTTACATTGGTCACAGGGTGCAACATGACGACAACCAAATTCCAACTGAATACAAGAGAGTTTAATGTATGGCTCAAGATGATTGACCCGAGTTTGGGACGGTCCTGGTTGAAAAGAAAGCCTGCACTTGAGCCTATCTCTGGCCGCGGCACCATAGCCCTTCTGGCACATTGGGCGGCTGTCAGTAATGGGAAGTTCTCCACCACGACAGGCAGCCTGCAGGCGCGGAAACCTTTTGGAAAACAAATCATATATAATTTTTAATTTTGTTAAAAAATACATATATACATATATATATATGTATATAATCACGACCGTCTTACCCCCCCAAGGGGGTGAAAAATGTAACATACATTTTTGGAGTGCCATTATGCAGGGTTTCGGGACCCTGGCTATATACCACATATATCCACATATATGTAGGTTGTTTTACCCAAATTCATAAAGTAAACGTAAAAATGTTACATTATATTTTTAGGCTAGGTAAACAAATTTCTAAATCAAATTTTTAAAGATAAACCTCAAAAATGTATGTTACATTTTTTGGGTGGTTTGAATAGAAAATTACAAGATCCGATTTCCCAACCTGCAAATTGTATGTTACATTTTTGGGGTGTTTGATGTATTCCCCAAAAAAATCGGTCAAACATGTCCAAACATGTCCAAACATTGGCATTGGAACCAAACATAATATCAGAATATATCAGAATGATTCAGAATGTAGAATGGGGATGAATGGGGAGGATATGGTAAGTTAATGTAGGTTATTGTAGGGCTATGTAGAGCTATAGGGGGGTTATAGGGCAGGGTGGGGGGAGGGACCCAAAAAAGTAACATATATTTTTTGGGTACCCCACGGAGATATGTTACAATTTCTACCCCTTAGGGTCCCCCCCAAAGTATTTCCGTGGCTGTTCATGGGGGGTGGGGCCTTGGAAAATGTAACATAGCAGGTGTACCCCCGTGCAATGCCCATGTTACATTTTTTACCTCCCCCCCCCAAACTCCTATATTTCTAGGGGGGGTATAAAAATGTAATAATGCATGTTACATTTTTTACCTCCTGGGGGGGGGTCAGGGGCGCCAAGAGGGTAGTGATTATATATATATATTTATATGTATGTATATATATATATGAAACTGCTACTGAATCGGAAGCACGACTTTTTCCGTACACCTCAAAGAGCCATCCAGCTGCGTGGAGATCCGACTCGAATGAATGACCGAACTGGACATGAATTTGCACAGGTCCAAGAAACTAAAAAAAATGGTGATGCACCTCTTAACGACAGCTATGACTCTTCCATGGGTTGAAGACCTGCAGTCTGCGTCGATGGGCTGACAGCATGGCAGGGTTAAAAACGATTCGCCAATGGCTCTTGAGTTTCTGAAACAAATGCACCTGATGTTTTTCGGAAGGCTTTGTGTTGGAGTTAGCAAGTTGGGCATCACTATGCACCCATCTCAACATCAAGCGAGTGGAGGCCATCGATTCTTCGACTGTCAATGCTTCAATGTCAGCTCAGCGTTCTGCCCCTTTTATCACTGGGGTATCCTTGGACAACTTGTCATACAAGTTGCGCTATCTGTCACAAGAATTCCAGGACTTTGTCTTACAACTTGATCCACATCCATCTTTGCAGTCAAGCTTGGGGACAGATGCATCTCCACAAGAACCAGACATGACACAACTCATCTTCACCATCAACCACAGCATGAGTTTCGGCACATACAGGATTACGACTGGAACGATCTATCTTATAGGATCTCCAAGACAACAGGTTGATACCACACAATTCTCCTTTCTTAAGATTGGGCAGCGCTGCTGCAATCACTATACCCCCGGTGCTGCTACTATTGTCAGGTCCTTTGGTCCAAGCAGCATCGGCCGCCGCCACAAGGTCTAAAGGACTCCCTCTCTCTACCCCATATATGGTGAGCTGGTGCCCTCTTGATTTCTTGTATCAATTGGTTCGCCTTGACAATATTTTGCAGAGTACTCTGAAGCACGGTAGATATGAGAAGTCCTACATCTGACGAGTGCACATAGTCAGTTTGACTGCCACGCCACCAAACTGCCAAGAACTGCTCGGAGCTGTGTCTTCTCAGACTCGGTGGTGCTCGAAGCTCGCATGCGTTCACGGTCTCGTGAAATATGAATAGGCTTCAAACTTTCGACAGACAAAGGGGGTGTTTTCCCATTGACCCCAAGCAACTTTGGCTTGAATTTCTGCCATCAGTTTCAAGTGTACCTCATCATGTGGTGAACCTCCAAACAACAAGCCATCGACATGCCCACTGATGATGGAACGAAGATTGTGTGAATCATCAAAATACAACCAAATGCAAGTTCAGAGGGGCTTTGAAACACCTTTGTACCACCATAATGGTGCTTCTACCAGGCCATAAGCTGCTTGTTGCAAGTTTGTCACAGTGCCTTCAAGAACACCTAAGCCCTGGCAGATCTCACGTGTGGGAACAACCCACAGGTCTTTTTCCAGCTGATCGCATTGCAAAAAGGCAGCTGAGATATCACCCTGCTGTGTGTGAAAATTGCAGTTGGGCTCAAAACATGAGGAAAGCTTGTCTTCCAACACGACTCAAAGTGGGAGAAGCCGTTTGCTTGTATTCATATGATTTATCTTGATCTCCCAATATAATGGCTCGTGCTTTCGCTTTCGTTCCTTGTGTGCCATCTTGAAGAGATTTCCATGTGAGAAGCCAACGCATGCCTATGGCGTCACTTTTTGGAGGCAACATGTGGTCTGGGACAACCTTGAAACACTGCGCTTGAAGAAAACTGCGGATCTCCTTCTGCTTGACCTGATCAAATTGCTCGATTTCAGCTGGGGTAAGTTTACGTTCCTGGACTTCCACTGCTTTGCGGCGAAGCTGACTCACAACAAAAGCTTCAGGATTGTCAATGAACTTCTGGATACCCCGTTTGGAATCAGGCAAATCTATGGTAATTTCCGCGCCCGGAATCATATCAGGCAAGGAGCTCGAAACAGCCTTTTCAGCTGTTAAATCCATATCCAAACCTTCAGTGCGACTGCGGTGACTTTCACCAGGAGTTTGAGATTCCACTGACCCTTTCCTCTTGGTGGTGTATCTACAGTGCATCGTGGGATGTTGCAAAGCGGCAACAAACTGCTCATTGCTGGGCAAATCATTTGTCACATCCACATATGTTTTGCGAGTGGGATGGGTGGCCAGTAAAGTGATGGCCCATGGAATCTCAATTGGGCCTTTCAGGGACTCCATTGCAATCTCACGTTAGGATGCAGGACGCGACTGTTCGGGGCAGCACGAATTAGCCGGCCAGCACGATGTAGCCAAACACAGCTACCAGGACGAAGTTTGCCAGCTTCACTCTCTTTGGTTTCAACAGCAAGCACACGAGCCGGCCCAACAAACTGTCCACTCCAATTTCAACCACCTCTCACACCTTCTCCAAGTGGAACTTGGCGTCTCCAGTAATACACTAAATCACCTGGACAAAAGGACTTCATGGGACAGCTTCCAGCTGCCACGGCTCGTAACAATCTGGCCTCTGCTTGATACTTGGCAAAACTCTGCTCTGCAGTGGACATCGCTTTGGTATTTTCAGAAAAACCTCCATCAACCATCCGTTGTGGGTGAATTGGGTGATGATGAAGCTTACCTTCAAACAAGCGACCCCACTCATCTGGTGCTCTGCCGGTTGCATGCTGCAAAGACCACACTGGTTGTCACGGGGGTTGCATGCCCAAAGGGATCGGGAAAACAGCTCTTGCATAGACATGTCTTTGAATTCCTCTGCAAGGGAGGTCATGACATATTTCACTGTAATGGCATTTTCAACGATACCTACCTGCCAATGGGCTTCTGCCGGAATGGGGGTGAGTGAAATGCCACGCTCACGGCAATAGGTATCAGCTTCCTCCCCCCGCCAAACTCCTGCAGGATCCACACGAATGGGCTCTGGCTGACCATGGTGTGGCAACCAATGTTCTTCAAAGCGCTGACGAACCAAAGGCCATGTTGCCTGACTCCGGTAGTTTTCAAACAGTCTTTTCCATATTTTTCCTAGGCGGAAGCGCCTACCCTCACCGATAAACATAATAAACTTACACTTATCCTTAAAGTGACTTAGTGATGGGGTGATACCAAAAACCCATATCCGATTGAACAACTTGCCACGTCAAGGGAATGGTGTCAAAGGATTCAGACCGCCTCGGTGCAACATGCTTCCGTTCAAGGTATAGGGGACATTCCAAACGACGGGCAAGTTCAAGCACATGATCCAGAACACCACGCTGTTGCAAAGCGCGCACTAAAGTTTGAGTGGACCCATGCCCGGAAACACTGTGTATGTGACGCGACAGTTTTTGGAGTCTCTGAATCTCCGCAGGAGGGAGATCATCAACTGCTACAGCGGCAGCCTGCTGGTGGTCTCCAGACTCACTACACACGGCTTGCTCGGAGCCTGCAGGCTGCTGTAAATCACTTGTCACCAATGACCAGGAGTCTTGAAATTGTATGGCCTCCAGCACCTTTTTGGCAAAAACTGGGGTGTAGAAGGCTGATTGAAGAGGCCTTCCACTCTGACAGTATGACTTCTTATTGTTCTTTTGGAACGGCAAATTGAGATGCTTATGAACGCCAGAATGAAACGTGGCAATGGTCCAACCTTTGCACATCAATTCACCGGCGTCAGACGCATGCAGGTTCACGGCACATCCGTGTCAAGTGACTTTCTGAAGGCTTTGACGCTGAACAAATTTAGGGACCAAAGGAAGGTGCCAAGCTTCAAATTTCTCAGATAACTCCCAGTGAATGGCAGCTTTTCGTGCAAGCCCCTTGATATTCAGCCCTAGCATAAGCTCTTTTTTTTCCTCTAAGAAGGCTATTTGTTCATCATTACGTTGGTTGAGTCTTTGTAAGGGGAATATGGCCCACAATCAAAAGAAATCCAAACATGGCAAGGCTGGAGAGTCTGGATTAAATGCTTCAGTTTCTGAATACCTTTCTTCTTGGTCAAGTCATAGCCATTCCAGATGGAACACCGCTGAGCTGCATGCTCAGCCAACTGGCGACAAGCTTCTTGAGTGTGGTATACTCAAGGCATTGTTGCTCTGGGTGAGCGGCAAATTCTTCAGCATCATCTTCACTGCAGCTCAAGTCTCCCCGCGGCTCTTTGCGCGAGAGGCTGCAAGTTCCAGTTCCAACGAAGCTGCTTGATCTCGGACGCGTGGTCCGTCTCGATGAGGCTGAAAGATGCGTCTGAGGAGTCTCCTGGAGTAAGGCGGGCCCTTGATGACTTCCGATGGCCCCTTGAGGCTAGACTGTGGCTCATTGGCATCACTGCCGGCCCGCATTGCGAATCTGCAGAAGCCATCCATGGTCGCCATTCTCCTCCACGGTCTGAATTGCCCAAGTCACATAGCTGGGATAGTGCTCCACCACCTCGATGTAAGTCAGATCTCGATACTGGCCAAAGCTCATCTTTTCGTACGGTGGCAGGGCCACCTCCTTGGCCACCGCAAACTCCACCAGGGCTGCCAGGGAGTAGATCTGGGCAATGGTCATGTTGGGAGCGATGCTGGCATGCATCTTTTCGGCCAAGCCACCATCGATGACTTCTTCTTGGCAGCCTTGTTCACTTCTGCCATGCGACTCTTCAAAGTCAGCGGCTGCCGATCTTTCATGAGAGCACGAAGTTCCGCCAATCGTGCCTTCAGCTGCATGACAGTCCAGTGGAGAGGCGGTGTCTCTCCCAACTCGATCATCTTGGCAATCAGGTCGGCACGGGTCTCCCTTGGCATGATGAGGACAAGGAGAGAAGCTTGGGAACTCGCTAACGGCACGAATGCGCACAGCTGATCCACTGGTTGCTGCTGTTTTTGTGCAAATGCTGATACAGCAAGCTGGCTGTTCTGATCAGGAGACTGGGACAGCGACTCAGGCTGATTGGGCTCAGCATGTGGCAAAACTTGACCATTGGAGTTACCTGAGTCCCTTTGCTTGCCACTTCCAGCGGCACTACAGCTTTCGGGCAACATTTTTGCACAACATTTCACTGCTGGGAAAATCAATCACAGCCCCTAACTTCCGCAGCGCTCTCACGGAAATCAGAACAGGTTGGTTGGGAACATTGTGGACACCATTGTTGCCAAATCTGAATGTTGGGCGATTGTTGGGATCCACCGTCACTCAGTCACGTCCATGACGGTCCACATTCAGCTGCATCAGGCTTTCAATGGCGTGAACGGAGCGCAAAGCGGAAGTGGCCCCACAGTCGATGATTGCCTTGCCATTCTGCAAGTGATGGGTCACCGTTGCAGTCTTGTCCACTGCGACAGGCGACGGCCCACATGACAAACACTTCTCAACAGAGGATTGGAGCCGGCAAGCATCTTGGAGGCGGTTTGTAGGATGAAGTCGGGTAGAACTTGCGGTTCATCTTCACCTGTTGCTGTCGCCACCTCGCCTCTTTGACAGTCCGCCTCTTGTCCTTGATGGCTTCCAAGGCAAGATTGATTTCTTGCTGCTCTCCCATGGAGGCTTCATACCCCTGAGGGTCTTCAGCAGGATTCGGGGCCTCAGAGTGAGCAGCAAGGCCTTCTTCTTCAGGATCCTCCTCCTCCTCCTCCAAGGCGAAGTTGGCATATTGCTTGGCTCGGACACGCTTTGCTAAGTCATCATCTCTCCACTGCTCTTGAAGGGCCTTCTCCACATTCTTCAGGGAGAATTCACCACCAATGGCTGCAAGGACGTTTGCGCGAAACTCAGCACTGCGCCCACTTTGCCACTCATCTTGTTGCCAATCATTTTGGTACCAATCATTCCATCCGTAGTTCTTCCATGACTGCGAGGACCAGGCATCATGAGACTGCAGGTGCTCCAAGTGATCATCATCATCATCATCATCATCTTCTTCTCCTTCTTCTTCTTCTTCTTCTTCGGGAAGACGACCTCGATCATCAAAGACCACAGGCTGCTCGGAGTTGTCCTGGGATGACGTCCCCCAAGTTGGACCTCGGTGCCGGCTGGCCCGTCCACTCTCACTGGTGACAGTGTCACTTGTAGCATGAGGCTGAACTTGCTCCTTCTGAGCTCTTTTCAAAGCTCTAGATGCCTCCCACATGCTTTCACTCTGTCTATTGATCCATTCCGTCATGGTCTCCCCTTTCCTCCTCCGCAACTGGTAGAAGAACTTGTGGATACGATTGGAAGGTTGCACCAACGTCGGAGTCTCAATGGCCTGCTCCAAGTATTCGATCACAGCGTAGGCTCGTCGAGGATGAGCATGCCACACCTGTGAGTTCCTTAGCCAACCTTGGCCCAGCTAAATACTTTTTGTGATGCTCTAGGGTAAAGGTATATGCCAATGCCTCTTCCCTGAACAACGCCAGCCAATGTTTCTGCAGCACCATCGTAGGTAGGAACCCCATCTTTATTTCTTTCCAGACTGCTACCCGGAATAGAAATCTATGCAAACACTCTTGTCATCCTGGATCCACTCGGTCCTTGGCCTCTGGGCTAGAACCGCCACTTCGAGCACACACGCTCACACGAAAAGCGACCAGGCAGCCGCCACCATGAAATTGCCACTGGATCCGAAGCAGCGACTGAACGCCTTTTTCCGTACACCTCGAAGAGCTATGACCGAGCTGGACGTGAATTCTGAATAAATAAATATACATATATATATTATATATATATATTATATATATACATATTATATTACACAAATAGTTTTATAATCATGCTTCCGCCACCTTCCACACATTTCCACCCCAACTGCAACAAGTCCGTGTCACGCAGCTGACCATTTAACCAAAGAAGACCGGGGATAGTTCGAATTTTCCACCAGGGCAGTCTAGGGTGTATAAAATACATCAAATTCGTTCAATTTACAGTCGCACCGCACCCTGCACTTCCTTTGACACCAGATGCAAAGTCACTGTTCAACTGTCACATGTCTAACGTATTTTGAACCCCTTCCAGCACCATCTGCCTTTGTGCTTTTTTTACACACTGTAGGGCTGCATAACTGGCAAACCAGCAAGCCTTAAGAGAGGTTGTTGACTAAACAGATCGTAGAAAACCATGGGCTACTCCTTACCTCCCCCAAAGCGGTGTAAAGTAATCCAAGGCGGTTACTTCTTGTCAAGCGAGCCGAACATTCTCACACCTTGGCTGAACACCAAAGTTTGGAGTTCCAATGGCTGCCAAACCCTGCGTTCACTGCCGCAACCCGATGCCTTGGTGGGACAGTGTAGGGGCCGGCTGATGTTCCCTTCGTGGAGCATCAAGCCATCCCTTAGCAGAGCCACGTCAGAAATCATGCCGTGGCAGACTTTGATATCCGAAGAATGTTTAGCGAACCCACAGGATCCCACAGGAAATAAGCAGAGTTCAAGGTGAACAAAGAACATGAAAATCACATATCTTATATAGTACTATGTACTAGCAGTCTCAGTAAAATTAAGATGTGAAAACATGTGAAAACGCTCGTCCCAAGTCTTGTTTGAACACGTTCGAGATTTGGTCCAACCCCAGTGGACTCAGTGGACCCAGTGGACCTTCATGTTGCCCAAGTCATCCAAGTCACATCATCTGAATTTTGGCGGCGTGGCAAAGGGACGCCCCTTCGGGGCAATGGCGGCAGGGACCATTCGTGACGCTTTCAATCTGCGTGTAGCCTTCAGGACATGCCTCAGAATATATGGACCAAAGGACCGTGCAAATGGGTAAACGGAGTGAACGGATGTGAACGGATGTGAACGGATGAATTGGATGAATTGCAAGGTCAAGCAATGTGAAACATCTGATTCAGCATCTCGCCTATTTAGCACGGCGTCGTCCAGTTTCACATTTTTTGGAACCAGTCTCAATACCGGCTTCCTCTTCACTAGTGCCTCCCCACATCATTCCGACAAGCTTCCAAACATCCAAAAGCCGGATGTTCTGCCACCCCAGCACCAAGGCTGCATTGAAAACCTCCAAGTTTAGCATCAACTGGCTTCAGGGATTGAAGCCAAGAGAAGATACTTTCATACAATTTCCCAGCAACTGTGAATTCATGAAACATGACAGAAACATGGACAAGGTGGTTACAAGTTTGGATCCAAGGTTGGTCAAAAGCCGGTACCTGTCTAAGTGCCGAACCGCCAAGTTTTGGAGCTGATGATGTTACGACCAAACGGCACTCACGCAGCTTGCTGCAGTCCACATCGGAGTCCTTGGGTTGGTCTTGCACGAAACTTGCAGCTAGAATAAGCTTGGCAATGCATAATGACATGGTGATTGCTGAAAGGAATCAAATGGACAATGACAAGCAACCTGGCAACTCCAAAATGTATCAAAATGTCCGTTTTGTTCAAGTGACATGCCCGTCGACACGGCATCCTTCATCGCAAATGCCAAGAATGTATAACAAGTATATGCGAATTTCTTTGAGAAAAAACAGAACCACATAGAATCACCATTTCAAAGAAATTCTTCAAAACATTGAACCACCATTCAAATGCCTTTTTCAAATGCCGGGGTCGCCAGGGTACAATTTGCAGGTCCACCACCTCCATAGAGAGGTCTGGCTTTGTTCCACTGACGTGGAAACTGGTTGTGGACACTTTCAGACCTGGCCACGGCCACGGCCATCGAAGGCTCCAAAATCCCACGGATTGCGAGAGAAAAACTGCGCCCAGAATGGCCCAAGGATACCCATGGCACAAAATCAGCTTCGCCGAGACTAAAGTCTCTAAAGAATATATATATATATAATTATGATTTATTACGTAACATTCATTGTACATCATGTTTCCCCACTTTTCGTTGCGTCTTGGCTACCACTACGTCTCGGGTTTCCATCCGTTTCAAAACCCGGACAAACCCATCCTCCACAACTGTGGCACCGCGCTGACTGCGTCAACAGTCTGATTGAAAGTGTCCACCAATACCAGGCTCTTGATCGTCAAGTTCCGGGCTTGAATCCTGAGTTCGGCGATCAAAATTGAGAAGCAAAGAAACCAAGCGCAAGGAACCGCATTGCGAATTTCAGGGGTAAAACATACTTCAAGTTGGGAAAGCCAAGTCGGACTAACTCGTCTGGGAACTTGGAGATTCGCACTTCGACGAATTCACCCGGACCTTCGGTTTTTCAATCCCTGAGCTGTTCGGTTCTGTTTTGTGGTTTTGTGGCTGTTTAAGTAACGGCATGGTAATACATAGTCCAACCTGAAAGGCGGTACAGAAAACAGCAGACTTTCTTTCCAACCAATTACCAATGAAGTGGGGGTTTTGTACCAACAACCCACTCTCATTCTTCACTGAAATCAATGATTTAAATCATTTTTGAATCATTTTTAAAACATTTTTGAATCAGTTGACAAGTCATTTGAGTTATCTTTCAAGACTCGCTGAAGCTCGCGCTGCGCTGCAGTTCTCCGCGCGGAAGCGGTCCACAGAGGAGCCTTCAAGGCCCTGGAGCAGAAGGCCCCCGCCTGCCAGTGCTTTGCACAGTCAACATGTCAACATCATTCAACAGTATACAACAGTCATGGATAGTCTATGAGTCATAGGTCCATTCGAGTCAACATGTAATATCGTAAATTAATGTAAATTCGATCGCAAATTATGTAAATAGAAATATGATGGAAAGATGCAATGAAAAATATCGATGAAACAGTCAGAAAGTGCATGACAATAATGATGAAACATGCGTATTTCAGAAACACCTGGCATTCTTCGAAAACTGCGTGTGCGTGTGTGCGAATGCAGTGGCCAGGGACCAATGAAATCCAAGCAAGTACTCCTGTTCAAGCCATTGCATATCATTGCATATCATTGCATATCATTGCATTCAAATTCACAACAGAGTGTTCGCTCTCTCCACTTCCTCCCTGAAACAGTTTGTGACATCACACCGGCTCAAAACATTTTGCTGATTTTCGCGGCCTGCTTCTGTGGCCCGGCACTCATGAAAATTCATGGGCTGCGTTCCATTGATCCTGATCGCACTTAAGCCTCCACCAATTGCTGCCCTGCAGTTGTAGAAGGAGACTGGGGCCTCCCACGGAGTCAGAATCGCAAAGAAATCTTGGCGCTTGCAGCAGGCTGTTTGCTGCTTGCTGCTGCTTGCTGCTCGGATGTGTCGGAACCATTCTGACTCTGGAAGTCTGGAATGAAAATTGCAAGAACCGTATTCGGCGCCGGCCCCAGCCCCGTTAGGCGCCTGTTGCTGGAAGCGAGATACCCACAGGCCCCCACCTCAGAACAACAGGATTCACGTCGAAGTGGGGAAGCCCAAAAAGCCCGATTCTTGATGCTTCTTGCGAGGAAACGACTGCAACATACTGCAACTACGTATGTATAACTATGTGCAACCATGTGCAACCGTGTGCATAGTGTAACTCTGGCTACATGGTCATGAAATGCCATCAACATATATACATTTTGGCACGCTCCCCAGCGCTATTGCTGTGGATTCTATTTCATCATATGGAAAAGTGCTGGCAGGTTGCCCATACTGTAGCAGATCATTCACTTGACACTTGTCTGCAGCTTGCAAGTGCGCTACACTGTACTTTGGTGCCGTGAAACTATCGAAATTTCAAAGAGAAGGTGGAGACCATGCATGTTGCATCACGGCAGCGCATGGTATCAGAATTTATGACAATTTATACGAAGAAGCCCTGGCCCACAATGCCTGAGTTGCCAACCGTCCTCTTTTGCTGTGCAATGATGGAAAAAGGCAGTGCCGTGTTGGAAGTCGTATTCCGAAGCAACGTACAGGCCACCACCTGGCGAAGCAACGGATGAAGCAACGGATGAAGCAGGCGGTCTGATCTCCTTGGGCTCCACGCCGCTCCGCTGGCTGCTGCAGTTGCTGAAGCCAACGCCTCCGTTTTTCTGCGTGAAGCTCGAGCTGTAAAAGCATCCACCTTAGCACAGCATGGCACAGCCAAACCATTTGTGGCATGTCATTGGAACGCTTGCAATTGCTTTTGTTTGTCAGGGAACATTCAAAAGAATATACAGCTACAGACTCAGCCTTCCTTTTGAAGCAGCACCAACCCCCAGTACATGAAATTAGCCAAGTACATCAAAGGTCGCAAAGTCAATTAAGCCTGCTTTCAGAATTCCACCTAAGAACTCGCGACAAGCGTACGAGATGTAGCGTGGTCCGTTTGCAAAACACGTGAATCGCATGCTTGTCAATAAGCCACCTTGAGATGCAAAGTTTCAACATCCCTCACAACGTATGCAACTCTCGCGCGTTTGCCCGCGAATGGGGCCCGACTTTGTGCATGAATAGTTTCACGTTAGGTGGTTAGGAGTACTCGCGCTGTGCCTGTGATAAGGTGCTTACTGCTTACTGCGGATGTTATTGGATCTTATTGGATCTTTTTGACATGTTGGCTTTGTGGTTGAATCTGCAGCATCTTTTCAGCTGCATGACCAACACCAAATTTGCAGATTTCGCATTTGTCGTTATTTTGTACACTCGCCATCGTCGTACATTCAACTTGCTTGCGGAGCAGCGTTGAGCACTTTTCTTTGAGGCTTAAAGGAGCCTGCGGTAGAAAGTTGTTGTTATCCACCACAGCTCAGTCTGTCACTGCTTTGATACTACGCTTGATCATAGCCATAAGGCCTGATTCTGAAAACCCTTTTGCACTCCCCCTTCGGCAGGTTGCCGAACAGCTATACTAGGGACAGTGCAGCTACAGCCTGAAAGGGCCGTGTGAAAGATCTCACACGTTGCCACGAGGCTTGTGCTCTTATTGGGTGGCCCAAAACGCTCTGAGTTGCATCTTTGATGCACTCCCCATGCCGCCACCAAAGTTGTAGGCCTTAAAGACAAGGCCATTCTACATGTTGCTACGGGTCTTAAAGACTGACTAGACCTGAAAAAATTCTACGGCCAGTCAGGCCCAAGGCTCCCTCAACTGTGCTCTTCATGGACGAACTTCTCTTCCTCGTTGTAGTTCGGGTCGTCCTCATGGCGTTCTTCTTCGTTGTTTTCCAGGCCATGCGCTTCAGGTCCGCCATCATCATAGCCTGCATCATCCTGGTCCTCTGTTGCAGGACCCTCTGTTGCGCGACCGTCTGCATCATGACCATCACATGGTCTTCTTCAGGGATCACCTCGAGCTCCACCTCGACGTAGTCCCCATCATCACCATGTTCTTCTTCTTCTTCTTCCTCTTCTTCTTCTTCTTCTTCAATCTCTTCTTCATAGTTTTCATCTTCAGGATATGCTTCAAGTTCAGATTCTTCACCACTTTCTGCAGCCGCATCTGCATTAGCTCGGCTTGTCTTGCCTTTGCCCTTGCCCTTGTCCTGGACGAAGTCGCGGTAGATCTCCAATCCCACATTGCCAGCTCCCTTTCCCACAGGTGCTGCACTTGAGCTCGAAGCGCCCGATGGCGGATGCAGCCTTGCGTCCGCTTCCAGGAACTGGCTCACAGCCTCAGCCGCTTCATCATAGGCTGCTTCTGCTCCTTCGCTGCCGTTCCCGTGGGTAGCCACAGCACTCTCAGCCCGCCGTATTGCTGCTGCTGCGCGGCTGATTGACTGTGCCAGTTGCATTTCGGCCGCTGGGTTGGCGCCCTTGCCTTGCAGGACGATGCGGCCCCCACTGCCTTTGCCTCCTTGGTTGGAGACGCGAAGTGCTCTTGGTTGCTTGCCCTTCGCATAGATCCGCTGCCATCCCATCGTTGGGCTATCCACGGAGTGGGTTATTGTGGACTCCTCACCCCTTGAGCCCTTTCCACGACGTTCCGGCCACCATCTGACCGTGTGGCCACGCCCTTTTCGGAGCTTCTGTGGCTCCCATGCAGAGCTCTTGCCAACCTGGAACTTGTTCTTGCGTCCCGTCAGCTCGTCGGATCTTCTCTTCATCCGGTACATGAACTCCTGGGTCTCCGTGTCCTCTGCTTCAGGTTCAGGACTTCCGCTGTCGTGGCGATGTGGGTCACTTCCATCTCCGTGACCATCTCTTCCACCATCGCCCCATGTCGAGGGTCCCGCCGAAGTTGAGGACGAGCTTTGGGACGTAACGCCATCTGCTTGTTTTGATCCCTGTTGGTTTCATCGTACTGCCCATCCTGTATCTCAACTTCTGATGTCTCCAGGATCTCAGCCTCTGACGTGCTCGACAGGGTTCTCGACGGTGAAGGTGCCCTTGACATTGAGGCCGGCGTTGATGCTGGAGTTCCCCCCCACACAGGTCCAGCACTGGCCAAGCGGAGAATCCTTTGCAGCAAAGATTCCCCTTGTTGAGGTTGTTCTTGAGGCTGTGGAGGTGGTTGATGGCCTCCTTGTCGTTGCTGAGATTGAGAAGTTCCCATTGGGGGACATGGTCCCGGCGCTCGTGCTTTGGCCCTTGATTTTGCCATTGCCATCGCCAAGTCATGCCTGACCACATCGCCTGGTGTACGAAGATCCACTTCTGGGCCTCCACGTTGTCTTTCCAGCCATGCCGTCGCTTCTGCAAGTTCTTCAGGAGACCTATATCTCACTGGCACAAGGTCCAACGACATGCTTTGCTGTGCCGGAGCTTGCCCTTGTAGTCCTGGATGAAGGCCTTGAGGTCCTCCTGGAGGTACTTGTTGTTGTTGCCCTCCACATCCAAGCCAAAAACCTTGTTGTCCTTGGGGTCCATATGGTCTATAATGCTGCCCTCCTTGCCAACGAAAGCCAGGACAGCATCCACCTCTCCATACTCCAGCATATCCATACGGAGGTGGTGCCGGCAAATCCGGCGGTGGCATCCCATGTTCATCCTTCTTGGGCTTCTCGGGTGCTGGTGGCAAGCGTTTCATCATCTGTTGCATTTGCACCCACTTTTCATCCGTAAGTGGTCCAGATGCCGATGACGTTGTACTCCTCAAAACTGCCTCTCTGGTAGCACCTCTTTCTTGTTGAAGGGCTCGACGTGCTATTTCCCGGTCAAGCCATGACTTCCGCAGTCTTTCTTGGCGCATCTTCTCATTCTTTTCTTTGCGCTCTTTGTCCCACTCCTCGTAAGAGAGGATTCTGCGGCCTGCTGCTTTTGCCTCAGCAAACTGCCTTTTCGTCTCCTCCTCGGCAGCTTTCCAATCCACCGAAGATGGTGACGGCGTCCTTGGCTGAGGTTCTTTCGGTTCCTCAGCTTTGACTTCCTCAGGTTTTTTGGTCTCCTGAGGTTCTTTGGACTCTGGTAGTGCTTGTTGTCCTGGAGGCTCCACAGCTTCTTGCCGCTCTCTTCGTTCTTGTTGTAGAAGTCGAAGGCATGCCATCCTTTCATTTCGAGTCTTTCTTGCGCTCTGCATCTCCTTGCCCTCTCTCTCCAACTGCGGCGCTTGTTTTTTCACCCGTACCCTGCGGTACTTCTTCAGCTTGGGTCCTTCTTGTTTCTTGACCTCATCCTTTTCAGCATCTCCAGGTTGTAGTACTTCACCATGTAGTTGACCTTCTTCATGTTTAAATTCCAACACTTCTGGTCCAGCACTTCCTGAAGGCTAATTTATGCTAATTTTCACATGTCTGGACAACTCGCGCTGGTCCTGCAACTTCATCCGGAGAATCACCTCCCTCGTCTGCCAAGACCACTCTCCTCGAGCTTCCAGCTTCTTCATCTTGCGATGATTCCTCCACATATTCTCTGGCGCCCGTGAGGCTTGCGATGCCGGTCTCAACGTCACCAATGAGGGAGCCGGTTTGAGACTCACCCTCTTCGGCTTAGGTTTCCCCGGGCATCTTTCACTCAGTTTGCCAGGAGCACCGCGGTCTCCTTGATCATCACGATCTTCTTGCCAACCACGATCACCCCGATCTTCTCCCCCATCGCTCATCACCGCAAAGAATCGCAGAGCAGGTGGAGGTTGTCCGTCTATGTTTGAACCAGGCCGCAACGAAGTCAAAACTGCAACCCGTTCACCATCAAAACATTCCAAATCACCAGCAACATGTCCCAACGAGGTTCCCCTTGCGGTAGTACTCATGTTTTGGGATTCTGATGACATAGTGCTCCCTTTTGGGTAACCCTTTCTATTTGGGGACATTTTTTGAGATACTGATGCTAACCCAGAACCCTTACCTTTTCCACTCCAACTGCTGTCCTCAAGTCGGTCTTGTTTGACCCTTTTGGTCCTCCTTTTTACCAAGCCCTTCGGGGTGTCCATCAAATCCAAGCCCATCTCCCCCTCATCCGCGACCAGTCGTGTCGATGCCGAAGTCACCGACGATCCCATGGCACCATCAGCGGATGAAAAAAGAGACATTGCCCGAAGTTGTGGTCCAGGGCCTTGACCTCCAGGATCATCATCTTCGACCAACTCAAAGCTGCCATCGCCTTCAGCATCCTCATCCAGCTGCGTCAGTGCCGCCGGTTATGTACTGCTCTGGCTTGAAGTGGCAGGTTGTTGAGGTTCTTCTGGAAGTCGCTGAAGAAACAACGTGTAGCCCGTCCAGCCGGTTGTTTCCCAAGTTTCGGACCAGTTGTCAGCAACTTCACTGCGTCTTCCATTTCCATGGATCACCGTGAATCTCCTCCCCAAGAGGTTGCCTGGAGCTCCTCGGTGAACTGGATGGAAGCTTCTTCTCCTTGATGTCCGGTGGTTTCGCATCACCACCCGATATCGCTTGCCAAAGAGCTCCACAACATCCATGTAGTGCCATCCATCTTGAACCCGTGGAGGTTGTGTGAACAGCCAGTTTTCTGCAACCCTTCGAAGAACTCCATCAACTTCATTGTCAGGTGGTTCTCGTGGTAGAGCTCCTTGAGGTTGCCGTTGTGGATATCCTTGTTGGCCTGTTGAGCTGCTGGAGGAAGCCCCTTGTTCTTGTTCTTGTTGTTGTTGTTGTTGGTTGTTTGTTGTTTGTTGTTTGTTGTTTGTTGTTTGTTGTTTGTTGTTGTTGGTTGTTGTTGTTTGTTGTTGTTGTTTGTTGTTTGTTGTTTGTTGTTTGTTGTTTGTTGTTTTTGTTGTTGTTGTTGTTGTTGTTCACGTTGTACAGCTTGGTGAATGCTTCCCCGTTCAGCTGCAACTGCTCTTTGGAAGGCTTCTGCACGTTGTTTTGGTTGTGCCTCTTCCGCCCTCCTCTTTGGTCTTGCCTTGGGCAGTGCCTCGTTAGGCGCATGTTGTTGCATCCATTGCGTTGGAGGAGCTTTGTAGTTGGGAGGTACCTGTCCAAGTTGTCGTAGATAGGCATTGCTGTGAGGGTCCCCATGCGGGAATGGCACACCAGGGTCCGTTTCTGAGTCAGAGTCATCATCCTCTATGGGATCATCAGGATCTCCCTGGTGGAAGTGCGCTCACCCTCGGCACCTGATGCACGGATTGCAAACCTCCAGTCACATGCACTGATTGCTCCTGCAGAGCACCTTTTGGTGGCCTTGACGACTCCACCCCATTGCTAGCACATGGTCGCGCCCGATCCGTGGATGGACATCCAGGGACATGAGCTACTCCCCCATACCCTGGAAAAGAGCTCCGTGAGCCATTACAACCAAGATTTTCTTTTGAACCTTCTGCCGTGCTGGCTCGGCTTTGTGGATGAGGTGGATGTGCCGCTTCATCCAAATTCCCTTTTGGGGGTTGGCCACTTTTGTGGTCCTTCTGCGGTCTTCTTGCCAGTCTTGTGGTCTTCAGACTCTTTTCTTCCTTTTTTCTTATCTCATTCAACTGAGGTTCAGACGCCTCAGCAAGGTGTTCAGCCCCTGGTAGAAGATCTCCTCCATGATATAGGTCGAAGCCTTCTTGTTCTTGTGGACCTCCATGCCGTTGGCGGTACAATGACACTGCTACCATAGCCAAGCCACCAAGCACCAGTGGCTCTGAGTCCATCAAGGCTCCAACTTCCATGACTGCCGCTCCCACGCCCTTCAACGCTGCATTGAAGCCAGTTGATACCGTAGTTGAGCTAGTCCATGAAGGGCCCACCACCTTGGAGACCGAAACTTCTCCATCCTCTGTCATTCCAATCAACCCCAAAAATCGGGTGAATGCTTGTCCTTGGAGTGGCTTCGTCAAAACATCTGCTCCCAATTCCAAGCCCGAGCAGTGTGACACCGTCCATGGTTCATCAGGGTCTTGTACCACTTCTCGCAACTTGGCCGACCGAAGTCTCAGATGCCTTGTCCTCCAAGCTCCTGTGTCTGAGGTGAGTTGGCTGATGCCAGACTTGCTGTCCCCCTGCATGTGCTTTTTCACTCCCCCGTACCCAAGGACTTCCAGAAGAGCTCCTGTTGACTCCCCATTCTGGTACGCCTCGTTGTACGCCAAGAGCTCTGCCTCCGCGGCGCTCTGGGTGATGAAAGGCTGCCTTGTTGAAGCCCACATGATAGGGTTTCCGCCATGGGTCATCATGATGCCTTGCACTGAGCGGTATCCCTCATGAGGTGGTCCAAAACTTGCATCCACCATCACTTCCAAAACATCAATTGGGCCACCACCCTTGTACTGGAGCTTCTTTGATGCACTGCCGCAAAGGTACTTCAGGCATTGCTGTCCAACTTCCACCACGTAGCCAGGCCTTTTGTGAAGTAGTCTTGACATGACCCCCACCGTGTACGCCACATCTGGTCGTGTCCTTGTAGTGAGCCACATCAACTCCCCGCACAACTGCTGGGCTGCTCGCAGGACTGGCCCTTGGAGATTCTCAGCAGGCTCTTCTGGTCCTTCTTCAACCTTTGGGCACGGGACCCCTGCTGTTTGATTGATGTTGTGCTTGTCCATGAGGTCGCGGATGTATTTCTCTTGTCCCAGCGCATAGCCCTGGTCGGTCTTTGAGATCTCATAGCCACAAAATGTGACAGTTTTCTTCCCCGTGACCCATTCCGGCGTAGCCAGTGTGAACCTCTCCTCCAAGGCCTTCAAGGTCTCCTCAAGGATGTTGTCCGGGGCCAGGAGCAAGAGATCATCCACATAGACCCCCATGTTGCCAATGACGAACCACTTCTCGCCATTGGAAGTCTTTTCCATCTCTTCAATTGACCACACATGTGGCTCCGGTGTTGGAGCCAGGCGTCGATGTTGACCAGTTTCACCCTTCCAGCTAATGGTCTTGCACGTAGCGTCCCTGTAGACTGCCCAGTCCTTAGGACTTTCCACCAGCCCATAGAGCGCACCTTTGACGAGCCACCATTCTTGGCCACAGACCTGTGCCTCCTTGGTGATCGCCGGCGGTGTGACCAACGTCAACTTGCCCTTTTCTTCACGTCGTGGTGCTTGAAGAAATGCTGTTTTCACATCCACCGTTGCACTGTCACAGCCCCATTCATTTTGGGCTGCCTTTGACACCAGTGACCTTGTGCACACCGTGCATAGTCCACCTGCTGCCACTTCAGCATCTTCATTCTTTGAAGCCTGGTTGCCACATGCCACCAACCTTGCTTTTCTTTTGAAAGGTGGCTTAATTGTTGCCACAAGCTTCCCAGGGATCACCTCGATGTCGTGAGTTCTTTGAAGTTCCTGGTACTGCTCCCTGTTTATCGGTTCGATGGCCTTATGCTTCAAGAGGGATTCGTACTCCGACTTGATTGGCTCTTTCCATTCCTCCAGTTCTCGTCGAACCTCATCCAGGGTCAAGGTTTTTGTCACCAGGGTCTCCTGCTCTTTGACCATTGGCTCCAGCTTTGCCAAGCCACGAAGTGCCCCTTCAAGTCTTTGGACTTCATCATCGATGTCCTTCAAGGTTTCTCCCATCATGTCATAGTCTCCAACTTGGGTTTCTTCTCTCCGAAGCCGACATAGCTCATGATGTTGAAGAAGACAAAGTTGTTGAAGGTGATCCAAGTACCTTCGAATTTCCGGTTTTTGAAGTTGTTGGTCGCCTGAGAGTTCATGATCCACCACCGAATCCAGTCCACTCCCCCCTGTTGTGGTCCACAGCAGCTTTGAAACGCTGGGAGGTAGGAGGTCCACATGCTGTTTTCCATGAAGCCGTCGAGGTCGACTCCCATCAGCTAAGCGAAGCTCCCCCGGGGTTCTTGGTCAAGATCTTGTGGTGCCACAGCACGTGCCGAGTTCTCTTCCAGCTCCTTTTCAAATTGTTCCAGGAGATCATCTCGATCCAAAGGACTGCCTTCAGGAGGTTGTAGGCGACGCTTTTCACCACCTGCGACTTGTTGCAAACCTTCTGGAAGTGGAAAGCTATCTTGCACAGGGACTGTGTACACTGCCACCATGAAGTAGCTCGGCCGTCCCCTTTGGTCAATTCCCTTCTTGTGAGGCCCGCACAAGTCAATACTCAAGGTATAGGATTCAGGATGTTGCAGCCGACGCCGCAGGTACTGGAGGTAGGCTTTCTGGAGTTATATACCCGTACTGGCGGTAGGTTGGCTGGTCTCAGCCTGTCCACCATTGCTGCCTCTTGTACTCCTTGGGACCAAAAAGGGTTCACCGGCTCACCTCCATTCAAGTGAAGATGCCCTTCTCGGTGTCCTGGAACACTTCTACCTCGTCGATGCGCCATGTTTCAGCGACGAGAGGCACGGTTTGGGCTCATAACCTGCTTGCGGAGCAGCATTGAGCACTTTTCTTTGAGGCTTAAAGGAGCCTGCGGTAGAAAGTTGTTGTTATCCACCACAGCTCAGTCTGTCACTGCTTTGATACTACACTTGATCATAGCCGTCATAGCCATAAGGCCTGATTCTGAAAACCCTTTTGCACAACTAAAACCATTAAGAACATTAAAATCCATGTGCCCTCCTGGCCTCCGATAAGAAAGAAACTCAAAAGATTATACGACACACCGCGCAACTTCGACGGCGGCGAGGTTGGTCCCCTCTTGGGGCCCCTGGAACGTTGGCAATAGAATCCCCAATGCCAATGCCCAGCAAAGAACAATGCACACAGAAAACGCACCTGTGCTACCGGTGTTTTCTGGTTGGTATGGCAGCTTGAAACTCGCAAAAAACCGTGGACAGATGTGGCCCGAAGCTCGCAACTTGAGGGCCAAATCTCGAGGGAAACATGAATAGGCTATTGATAGGGCACAGTTTGGGAACCTTGGAATCCGGCTCTGCTCGATTTTCTAACTCCGACTCTTCTAACTCCCTCAAAGTCTGATCTCCTTGGGGCTCCGTGCCATTCCACTGGCTGTTGCAGTTGCTGAACCCAAGGCTTCCGTTGTTCTGCGTTACGGTGCTGGCATGAAGTCCCCCACCTGGGCATGAAGGGTACAGTTGTTACAGGAGCACACGGTCACACGGCAAGATCCCATTTTGAACATCAAGCACTGCTACTGTATTCCTTCCTGTACTGCTTTTGTTTCATGTTTTTCCCATGTTCTTCAGGGGTTCCGATGGTTCCGGACTTTCAGGCAATGTTGGATCTGGATGTGCTGCCGGGGACCACTGAATTTCCCTCGATGTTGAAGGTTTTGTTATGTTTTGTTCCATTGAAATGATATGAAATCATCCTAACCGTCCTAACCTTCCCGAACTGCTATACTAGGAAAGGTGTGCCAAAGATCTTCAAGGACCATTCACAGCAGCATATTGAGTTCAGCGTTGTCGCGAAAGGTCAGCAACCACAAGGATAACACTTTCCTTGCCCGCCAACATGTGACTTTTGAGCAATTTTGGCCTGGGCATGCCTGGGCACAATCTAAGCCCCATCGTGTCCGCTACGACACTACGAGTTCTGAACGCACTTATTCCAAGGGCGCATGTGTGTGCAGGCATGCGCCAAACCGGCAGCGGCAACACAAAAAAAGAAATTGCAGAGACAACCACGGGGTGTTCATGCCGCTAGGTTTGGACAGACAACAGTGCTTTGTGCAATGAACGGACCAGACCATGAGTCTCAGAGTTGTTGTCTGGACCTGATCGACGATGTCTTGGTTTTCAACGTTTCAACGTCACTGTCCAACTCCTTCACCGGAAATGCGCGAAACGCGCAGGGTAAGTTACGGTAAGTTGAGTGAAATCGCCCAAAACGCGTTCAACAAACGGTATGTTTCAACGCGTTTCAGAAAGTTTCAACAGGCAACTCGGGCGACTGGCCATGACTCGCCTTCGCGCGCGCTGCAGTGGCTGAAGCGCAGAAGTCCGTTGCTCTGCAGCTCCGAGCTGTAAAGGCCTCCGCCTGACGCGACAAACTCGACCTTTGATCCAAACATATCCAAACTAATTATCTGGGGATGATTGGAGATGATCGGAGATGGGTTGGGAAATGTTGGTGTTTATCGGATGTTTATCGTTGTTTGGAAATCCCTAGACCCCACCAACCAATACGAAGCTACACAAAGCTACACAAAGCTACAGAGCTACATACTCAGATTGCGGTCGCTTAGAGAGCTGATTTGTTCGTTGGACAAATATGGCAAAGTTATGCAAAGTTGAATGCCAATAAAATCAATGCATTGAAGATTCCTGGTCCTCTTTAAGTCTTTACAACATCCATGTAATTGCCAAGCGAATGTCGCTTGCAGCAAACATGGCTCTGATGTAGCTGATTGCATGCAAAGGGAAAGCAACATCCAACTTAATTATGATACGAGGCAGCGTCAAAAAGTGCAAAGTGCTGATGGACCTTGAACTCGAGGCGTGGTCATGATCCAAAATCCAAATACAGCCAACGGCCAGTAAACTCCCAATTCAGCGCAGATGGCCAAAATGAACGTCGCGCGTTTCTCCTGCCCTCTGATCTCCAATGACAAGTCAGAAGCATGTCAGAAGCATGCGCAGAATGCGTTGTGCAGTCGTGCAGTCAGACCTGATACGATACTTTAAGCATGTGCTGTAAGCTTGAAGATCTTGAAGCATGTTCACCGTCATTGTGTGCGAATAGCTTAGGGGCAAAAACCAACATCCAGAATTGAAAAAAACATTTTAACCTCATGGAAAGCCAAACTCCAAAAACCGCCCCAACGAGGTAGAGGACTCACCGGCGCACTTGAAAGTGACTCACCTGCGCACTTGATCACAGACTCACCTGCGCACAGGATCCAGACTCACCCGCACAAGATCCAGACTCACCTGCGCACAACACACTTAGAAAGGGAGAAACCAACCTTTAGGTTTATAAATTAGGGGAACAGGGGGGGAACAGGGGAACAGGGGAACAGGGGTAGCAAGGGAGAAACCAACCTTTAGGTTTATAAATTAGGGGAACAGGGGGGGGAACAGGGGAACAGGGGACCAGGGTAGCAAGGGAGAAGCCAACCTTTAGGTTTATAACTTAGGGGAACAGGGGGGGGAACAGGGGAACAGGGGTAGCAAGGGAGAAACCAACCTTTAGGTTTATAAATTAGGGGAACAGGGGGGGTAACAGGGGAACAGGGGAACAGGGGTTGCAAGGGAGAAACCAACCTTTAGGTTTATAAATTAGGGGAACAGGGGGGGAACAGGGGAACAGGGGAACAGGGGTAGCAAGGGAGAAACCAACCTTTAGGTTTATAAATTAGGGGAACAGGGGGGGAACGGGGGAACAGGGGAAGCAAGGGAGAAACCATCCTTTAGGTTTATAAATTAGGGGAACAGGGGAACAGGGGAACAGGGGGGTGGTTCAGAAAGGGAGAAACCATCCTTTAGGTTTATAAATTCGGGGGGGACCAGGGGGGGAAACAGGGGAACAGGGGTTACCAAGGGAGAAACCAACCTTTCGGTTTATAAATTAGGGGAACAGGGGGGGGAACCGGGGAACCGGGGAACAGGGGAACAGGGGTAGCAAGGGAGAAACCAACCTTTAGGTTTATAAATTAGGGGAACAGGGGGGGGAACAGGGGAACAGGGGAACAGGGGTAGCAAGGGAGAAACCAACCTTTAGGTTTATAAATTAGGGGAACGGGGGGGGGAACAGGGGAACAGGGGAACAGGGGTAGCAAGGGAGAAACCAACCTTTCGGTTGATACATTAGGGGAACAGGGGGGGGATCAGGGGAACAGGGGAACAAGGGAGATGACACACACACACACACGCTTCTGCACACAAAAGGTCTTACTCACAAAAGGTCTTACACACGCTGCAGCAGGTCGGCGCAAAGCGCGCTTCACCATGAAGCGTAAAAATCCACAACAACCAAACAAGCTCTGTCTGACACGAACATATCATTCAACATCTCCCTATTAGTTTGATCCATTGAAATATATACGGATATGGTATTCAATTCCGGAAAAAAAACATCACTATGATATTGGAAAACCTGTACAGAAGAAAGGCGTTGATATAATCCTTATGCATGTCAACATTGAGATTCAGAGAGCCAAAAAGCATTCCAGCAAACCAAGGTTACAACCGGCGCACATGGAAAAAAACATGAGTTTCAATTTGTTTTTATTTCTGGAAACTGTTTCATCAATACTTCCGAGTGTCTATCGAGAGCAAGCGGACCCGAGAGAGGACAACATCGCGTAGCGCAGAGGACGCGTGGGAACACTAGTAGAGAAAGCAAGGAGTGACTGTGAATGCCGAACAACGTAATAAGGTCAATTCCGGACCAGCAATGCCAGTTACTTACCACCAGTGTGCATGATGATGCTGATGACGAAGATGATTATGATTACATAATTATCATGATGATGATGATCATGGTGATGATGCTGACGACCACGTCGACCATGACGATGTTGATGAGCATGATGATGGTGATGATGATGAAGAAGATGCGGATGATCATGTCGACTATGACGGTGTTGATGAGCATGATGATGGTGATGATGATGAAGAAGAAGAAGATGCCGATGATCACGTCTACCATGACAGCGTTGATGAGAATGATGATGGTGATGATGGTGATGATGGTGGTGATGATGATGATGATGATGCTGCTGATGATGATGAATAGCATGAATGAAGGTGCATCACGTGCACAGGCGAGTCCGGCCATCACGTGCACCAGCGAGCCAAAATCACGTGCACAGGCGAGGCGGTTACCCCCAAACGGCATGTGCCAAAAGGCGCAAAAGGAATTTGGAGCCCAAGGCTCAGAGCTGACGTATGGAATCTCGAGAAACATCAACCATGGAGACAATCAACCCAAACATACCCAAACAATATCCCCATGGTCCCCATGGTCTGCTGACAACATCTGACCATAGAAAAGTCATGCATCGCAAGCCAATGTTCTTCAAAATTGTGTGCAAACCATGCTTTGGAAAACCATTCCAGAGCACACCTTTGAGCACCGTTGTTCGAGCTCTGCTCCAGCACCCAAATGGCAGACCACACCCCACTCGAGGGATCCCCGCTCGGAGAAAGACTTTGACACTGTGACGTATGTCAGACGCATTGACATGTGTACAGACATATTAATCATACTATAGTGGCAGGACTTAGACATGTGCTCACAAAATGTTCTGCGTAATAAGAAAGAAAAACGACAGATTAAAAACATACTGGCATCTATGCTGGCGCATATGTACTGACAAATGCACTGATACAATCTGATACATGCACAAATATAGTCATATAGTGGCGGACTAACGTCTGATATGGGCACTGACATAGCTGACATATGAGTGACGCCTAGTGACGCGTGAACTGACACACATGACGCACTCATATGTCAGAGAAACGCATGACGCACTGACATTTTGAAGCAGCGTCGAGCACCCAGTACGCTCAAAGAAGTGTGCAGAGACAGAGACAAACAAACACTACCAGGCACTACCAAATACTCACATAGAGAGGGAGAGAACTGAAGGGGCAAGAGGGATGAAGGAGAGGACAAACATCGACAAAGTCATTTCGTTGAAAAATGTTGAACGTATTTGGCATATTTTGGCACAATGACATTGTCTGACAGCATCTGTTGAGATCCGAGGCTCCAGGCCGTTCTCTTTGCTGCTGCACTTCTTGAATTCTATGGCTCCGTTCTGCGTCATTTCTGAGACGTAAAGGCCCCCACCTGGGCCGATGCCGGGAGCATCTCTGCGAAAAGAAAGGCATTGCGGGTAAGCGAAACTAAGCGAAGCTGGGAAGATCTGGGAAGATCTGGGAAGATCTGGGAAGATCTGGGAAGCTGAGCATTGAGAAATGCAAACTTGTACCCAACGGAATACCCTAAGCTGGACAAGCACGGCAAACTTGACCAGAATTTCAGAATCACAGCATCTGTGCATTGATGCATTGATGCGAAATGAATGTCTCCCTGGCCAACTAGTATCACCTAGTTTTCATTTGGCCGCGGAATTCAACTTCATCATGATACAAGACGGCATCATAACATGCGCCTGTGACCGCAAAGCATGTTCACGCTCATTGTGTGCAAATAGTTCAAACTCCAAAAACAACAGGAACTGAAAAACAACTTTATATCCCAACAACCTCCAAACCCTGGACAAACCCTGGACAAACGGCATGCACCAAAATGTCCAAAAATGAGCCTATAGCAGACTCACTAAAGTGGACGTCGTGCGTTTCTCCAGCCCTCCAATCATCTCCAAAATGCACAACTCAGAAGCATGCGTTCAGCCAACAGACTCAACAGACCTATATGTTTCCAAGGTGATTTCTGGATCCACAAACGTTGTATTTTCAAGAAGCCTTTACTGGCGCCGTTGCCAAAATACAAGCTTTAGATCGAAAGAAACCAGACCCCAAAATGCCGAACTCAGGGCAAATCAGTGAACGAAGTATCATGAAGTATCAAATTTCAAACGGCAATGTGCAGGAAATTATAAAGCAGGAATGGCAGCGGCACATGCATTTTGTTGAAATCAGCCCCTGGTAGCTTGGCAAATTTCCAGTATCGCTGGCAGCGCCGGGCCAACATCTTTGAGAAACTTGGTCTCCGTGCCATCCACTTGGCTACTGCAGTTCTGGAATTCCATGGTTCCATTCTGCATCATGACGTTTGCGAAGAGTCCCCCACCTGGGTCGGCATCACATATCAACATCAACCGACTGGTACACCCACGTAGACCCCCGGGCCGATCAAAGGTTGGAATGCCAGGAAAATCAAAGCATGTTTGAGGCATATCATCACATCCTAAGGGTTCCATCCAAGAACCCGAATTAAGCATGGTGCCGAATGTGTTCGAAGTGGTGTATCGAAGAAACACTGTCGCTCGTGCAGTGAGATTGGATTGGAGCGGGATTGATCTGAATTGGTAGTTGCACGCCATGCAACAGCCAATTTCATCATGACATACGATGTGACAAAATGCCAGATATTGGCAGATTAAACTCTGAGCACGAACCCTCAAACCTGTATTTGGTTCGGGAGAGCAATAAACTACATAATTACCATTTGATTTAAACAGGTGTGGGTTGGTTTCCAAATTGGGGTTTGAAAGATGTTTGAGGTCCTTCGGAAAACTTGATCCGGACTCCACTGCGGGGAAATCAAGCTACACTCGGGAAGCTACGAAGAAAATCAAAACTTGATCCTGAATCCTGAATCCTGAATCCTGATTGCACCTCTCAGGGTGAACCGCTTGAATGCATTTGGATTTTGCAGTTGATTCAACATTTGGCATGTGAGAGCTTGTTGAGATTCGAGAGTTGAAATTCGAATTTACATTTGACGCTTTGCAGCGCTCGTCTCAAGTGGTGAGGACGTAAACCCCAGTTGACTCTTCCAAGGAGTCTTGTTTTGAGCGCTTGGCATCCTCTGTGTGCCTTGAAAAAGAGTTCCTGCCTCTTGGTTCGTTGTTCCCTCTTTCCTTTTGATGGACTCTATCGGCGCACCGGGGACTGGTGCTGAAAGCGGCTTACCCGCTACAGCAAGCGGTGGTCGTAGAAGACAACTGCTCCAACCAGCAAGCCAAAAAATTTCGTGACGCATCACGCAGCCCTCGGAACATTCCTGCACCGGGGCAAGTTGGTTCAAATTTCGATGATGTGCCATTGGAAGATGTGGACCAACCAATGGTTTCTATGAACGATTCCTTGCAACAGATAGTTTCAAAAGAGCTTGGCAGGTTTTTACCTTCTCATGTCACGAAGTCTATGCAGAAACAAGCCCAAGAACTTAGAAGCAAAATTCAAGCTTTGCAGAGAACGAATGACAGGAAAAAGAAGCTTGAATCAGAAATTACCATGTTGGAGGGCGGTCAGGTGTGCGGAAATGTCCCCACACCTTTGAGACTTCCTTGCTGGATTCTCCTGTGCATCAGGATGGTTTGGTTTGGAATATCACATTGGGCGATTCTATCCGCGAGACCAAGGAGAAGGTTCATTTGTTCAATTTACTTTGCCAAAGGCAATTGGATTTGCAGCTGATTGAACTCCGTCGCCAGCAGCTCACAGAGTATGTGAAGAAGTCTGCTTTCATCTCCCGTTGTTCAAAACATTTTCAAATTTTGGAGCAACCCAGCAGTACATCTTGTGCCTTGCTTGACATTGACGCGGACGGTGACGGTTCCACTGGTGTCTTGGTTCATCAATTGGGCTTGTCTGAAGAGAGATTTCATGGAATTTTGCTGTCTATTTACAAGAAGGTCGTTGATGGTGAGGCTGCAAAAAAAGTTTTCGACATGGAAGCGGGTGACAAGAAACAGAAGGAAAAGGAAAAGTTTTTGGAACAAGTTGCAAACAAAAGCCCTCTCGAATTTTTCAACGAATCAATTGACCAGAGGCTTACACTGCTTTCCATGAAAGGCAAAGGAAAGGGAAAAGCTTCTCCTGACAATGCTTCCCTACCATCGGCCGAGCTTACGCTTGCTGCTTTACATTCCTCTACTGGCACACTGGACAAGCAGGAGGTGCAGAATATCATCGCAGATTGCCCCAACCATGAGTTATCCCGTCCTAAACCCAAATCAAAAGCAAGGGCGAGGGCAGCTTCTGGAAAAGGCAAAGGCAAGAGCTCAGAGAAACCGAAGGGCAAAGGCAAAAACAAATGCAGTCACCTCCCTAAGGGGAAAGGCAAAGGTGGCAAAGGCACAGGCAAGTCGAGTGGCAAGTCAAAAAACGGGTTGTCCCCCCTCTGCGGAAGGGGGGCAAAGGTACAAACAAGGGCGCTGGAGGAAAAACAAGTTACAAAGGATGGTCCTCTGGCGTCACAGCCAGAAGATGGCAACGATGAGCCGAAAGCTTTGCAGCTGGTTTTGGAATTTGGTGGAGGGGATGCCTTTGTTGGAATTTTGCCGACTTTTGCAGTGTGGCCGTTTTGTCCCTGACATCATGTTTTTCAACCACGTTGCTAGAACTATCGAGCATTTTGCTCCTTTGTCTCTGCCATGGCCAGTTGAATAATGCCTACTTGCCCATCACAGTCCGAAGCATATTTTCGGAGGATCTCGCTTGCCTTCCTTAGGAACTATAGGGAAATCCTTGGTGAATTGGGAAAACAAGCTTCGTTGGAGGCTTGCGCTTTCCGAGAAGCCACAAAACAAATGGTCTTTTCTGCAGTCGAAGAACTCAGACACGGGACCATGTGACATTTCTGTTTCAAATGCAATGAATGATTTTTTCTTCGAAGCCAAAAATGCAGTTTACAAGGAAGTATTGCGTATCCATCGAAAAGCTGCCCATTTTCGCTGGAAGTTCAACAATTTTTATGGCGTTATTCGGTTGGCTCTACAATATTTGAAAATTGGCCGTTACATGTGTCTACAGACTGACAAAGATGGTGGTTTTTGCCTGATTTCGAAGGATGCTCTTCAGCATGAAACTGCTAGGATCTTTGCAAACAAACGACAATACAGTGAAATTGAGGTGGGTTCCGATTTTGGGCGCGCCCTGGTCGTGGAATTTGTTGATGTTGCCCGTGAATGCACCTCTTTGGGCCCTTTCTCTGACACTGACAGGTTACAATTTTTGAGCTCAATCCTTCACCCGGCAAAGTCGTCTCGAAGTTCAACTATCATTTCTACTTTGAAGTATACTGTCAAGAGTCACAAACCACCGGGGGAAGTTGAATGGAGACCATTACACAGCAGTGTGCACACGCCATTGGCAAGAGGCATGCGCTTCATCACCTTTTTGCTCCGGCCCATTCTGCTGACTTTACCGCATTTGCTTTTGAACAGCTTCCAGGTGGTACAGCGTTTGCGGACCCGCAGCATCAGTTCATCTGCGCGGCTCATCAAAATCGACATCCGGGATTTCTTCATGGAAGGTGAACACGCACAATTTCTGAAGGCGTGTTCTTCTGCTGTACCAATTGAATGGAAACGGTGCCTTCGTACCCTGCTTGCTTTTATCCTACGGACCCAGTACGTGAGGAGTCCATGTTTTCGGGACAAACTGTTCCAAGTCAAACGGGGTGCTGGTATGGGTCTGCTTTGTTCCGGCGATATTTGTGACATTGCCTTTTACAAAACTGTTGAGGAAACGATTCTCCCTGTTCTTGCTTCTTGGAACGTGGTTGATTATTTTCGGTTTAGGGACGACATTTTTGCAATCGTGGATGGCCCTATTTCTTGTGTTCGCGGCTTTGTGGAAGCACTGAAAGCAAACAGTTGCGTTCGGAAGCTTAAGGTTGAATCTATCTCTTCGCACGAAGTTGTCTTCCTTGACTTGAGGATTTTCAAAGGTCCTCGCTGGGCTGGGCGGCAACGCGGTTTTTGGATACAGTATCTTTTTTGGACAGCACAGAAACAAGTTTTGGCTTGCCACAGTTTGCACACACATGCACACACCATCTACACATTTGTCTTGGCCACAGTCTTTGATTTATCGTGTTCACAAGCTTTGCAACAGCTCACAGCTTCGCCAAGAAGAGTTGGAACGTCTTAAAAACATGCTGACTGAACGGTGCAGGTTTGAACACGCCAACTTGGTGTTCGGACTGCGACAGCGGCATGTACCCAGATCACTTCGACATGACACAAAACACAAAACCAATCGTTTCGAGACTCATCATTCCCTACCATCGGGAATGGGAGATCGGAGCAGTGCGCGCTTGCTTGAGGAAGGTGACGGATCGATATTCTGAAGTTTTTTCAAAAGCTTTGGGTGCACCTTTGAAAGTTTCAATTGGGCATACATTACAAAACCGTCACTTGCACATCATGTTGTGGAACATGCAAATGCAGAATACCACAGTTCATGGTCGGAGGATGGGGACGGTGGTGGATGATCCTGAATACTGATTGCACCTCTCAGGGTGAACCGCTTGAATGCATTTGGATTTTGCAGTTGATTCAACATTTGGCATGTGAGAGCTTGTTGAGATTCGAGAGTTGAAATTCGAATTTACATTTGACGCTTTGCAGCGCTCGTCTCAAGTGGTGAGGACGTAAGCCCCAGTTGACTCTTCCAAGGAGTCTTGTTTTGAGCGCTTGGCATCCTCTGTGTGCCTTGAAAAAGAGTTCCTGCCTCTTGGTGCGTTCAGCCAACAGACTCAACAGACCTGTAAGTTTCCAAGGTGATTTCTGGATCCACAAACGTTGTATTTTCAAGAAGCCTTTACTGGCGCCGTTGCCAAAATACAAGCTTTAGATCGAAAGAAACCAGACCCCAAAATGCCGAACTCAGGGCAAATCAGTGAACGAAGTATCATGAAGTATCAAATTTCAAACGGCAATGTGCAGGAAATTATAAAGCAGGAATGGCAGCGGCACATGCATTTTGTTGAAATCAGCCCCTGGTAGCTTGGCAAATTTCCAGTATCGCTGGCAGCGCCGGGCCAACATCTTTGAGAAACTTGGTCTCCGTGCCATCCACTTGGCTACTGCAGTTCTGGAATTCCATGGTTCCATTCTGCATCATGACGTTTGCGAAGAGTCCCCCACCTGGGTCGGCATCACATATCAACATCAACCGACTGGTACACCCACGTAGACCCCCGGGCCGATCAAAGGTTGGAATGCCAGGAAAATCAAAGCATGTTTGAGGCATATCATCACATCCTAAGGGTTCCATCCAAGAACCCGAATTAAGCATGGTGCCGAATGTGTTCGAAGTGGTGTATCGAAGAAACATTGTCGCTCGTGCAGTGAGATTGGATTGGAGCGGGATTGATCTGAATTGGTAGTTGCACGCCATGCAACAGCCAATTTCATCATGACATACGATGTGACAAAATGCCAGATATTGGCAGATTAAACTCTGAGCACGAACCCTCAAACCTGTATTTGGTTCGAGAGAGCAATAGGCTACATACCATTTGATTTAAACAGGTGTGGGTTGGTTTCCACATCCTTGGGGTTTGAAAGATGTTTGAGGTCCTTCGGAAAACTTGATCCGGACTCCAAAACTGTGGGGAAATCAAGCTACACTCGGGAAACTCCAAAGAAAATCAAACTGCATGAGCCCAGATTAGTTCCATCATTACAATTACTTTACTTCGTGTGATCCCCACCATGACATTTATACATTTTCTTACTGGCAAATCTTCTGGCATTCTATCTGACATATCTTCTGACATTCTATTTGACATTCTATCTGGCATATCTTCTGGCATATGATCTGGCATATCTTCTGGCATATCTTCTGGCATTCTATCTGGCAAATCTTCTGGCATTCTATCTGGCATATCTTCTGGCATTCTATCTGACATATCTTCTGGCATTCTATCTGGCATATCTTCTGGCATATATTCTGACATATCTTCTGGCATTCTATCTGACATATCTTCTGGCATATATTCTGACATATCTTCTGGCATATCTTCTGGCATATCTTCTGGCATATCATATCTGGCATATCTTCTGGCATATTTTCTGGCATTCTATCTGGCAAATCTTCTGGCATTCTATCTGGCATTCTATCTGGCATATCTTCTGGCATATTATCTGGCATTCTATCTGGCATATCTTCTGGCATATCTTCTGGCATATCTTCTGACATTCTTTCTGACATTCTTTCTAACTTTCTTCTGCACATTCTTTGTCCCATATCTTCCTACATGAGGTCCGGCAGGGAACACTTGGCGTGGATACTCGCGGTTGAGGTCCGGCAGGGAACACTGGGCGTGAATGGTCGTGGTTGAGTTCCGGCAGGGAACACTGGGCGGGGATGGTCGTGGTTGAGGTCCGGCAGGGAACACTGGGCGTGGATGGTCGTGGTTGAGGTCCGGCAGGGAACACTGGGCGTGGATGGTCGTGGTTGAGGTCCGGCGGAGAACACTGTGGATCGCGGGTCGCAGTTGAGCAAGGACGACGAGGACGACGAGGACGACGAGGACGACGAGGAGGACGAGGAGGAGGAGGAGAGGAGGACGAGGCAGGAGGAGGCGGAGGAGGAGGAGAAGGAGGAGGAGGAGGAGAAGGAGGAGGCAACTGACATAAAATCTAACAACCCTCACCTGGCAGGTGGGGAATAACATACAAAAACTGCATGGTCAACAAAATAAATGCATTTCTCGCACCTCAACAAGGTATACAAAAGAGGCACGCACATTGTTCAACGCACAGATGCACATGTCTGAATGCTGTTTTCTAAACGCCGAAGTCATGGTTTTCAAACTGCATTAGCAGTGGGCAGCATCAATCTCTCAAATTTTGAATTCAACTCCACGAGAAAACTCAAAACATAAAGGCCCGGAACTGAAAACGATTTGGCAACTAAAAACACAACTAGAATTGACAAATGTCAATTAGTTCCACAGAATCCCTGCTCGGGTTCCAGGCCATTCCCTTGGCTGCGGCAATCGTGGAACTCCAAGTTTCCTCCGTTCTGCATCATCTCTGAATCGACGTAAAATCCACCACCTAGGCAGCGCTAGGCCGCTTTGCCCTAGGCAGTTTTGGGACTATGGAAGCCTGTGATGTAAAAAAAATGGGACGGCAAAATCTTTGGATATTTTAAAGTTTTTGCATCAAGTTGACCCACTCTAGGACAGCTATATATTGTGCAACCATCCAAGATTGGTTGCAATAAAATCCCATACCCCAATTAAAGCAAACTTGGGGTGACTCCAATACGTTGGCAAATTTGTTTCGGAGTCTGGTAAGCCTCAGAAATTTCACACCTACAAATTCATGTTACAACATGTTACAAGGCTGGTTTGGAGTTGGTCTTGTGGACATCGCCAAGACATGGAAAATTGAATTCCTGCATGTAGCCAAACTTGCCCACGCATCATTGCCCCCACTTCAAATCGCTGGATAATATGACATGCATGGACGGGGCGGCGCTAAGGAAGGTGTTTGTCAAAAACAAATCATCCGAAATGCATGAAATCTACTACAACATTGAAAATAATTTGTTTGTGCCCGTGTCAGCGGACGAGAAGTGAGATTGGAGGAAAATAGAGCTGCTCAAGGGCCAAAGGACGAGACGCCAGAAAGAAAAAAAACTGATTTTCGGGTTTTCCATTGAAACACAAAGGGTGGCTGTGCCGTCATTATGATGACCAACACAACAAGAGCACCAGCACCTTCGTCGAAAATCATAGGCATCACAGCCATCACGGCCATCAGCACATATTTACAATAATCTTGTGCGCCCATCCCATCACCAAAAACCGTCAGCATCATCATAAGCAGCAGTACCACCACCACCACCACCACCAGCATCATCATCATCATCATCATCATCAAAATCATCACCACCATCACCATCACCATCACCATCATCATCATCATCATCATCATCATCATCGTGATCATCATCATCATCACCATCACCATCATCATCATCATCATCGTGATCATCATCATCATCATCATCAAAATCATCAACGTCATCAACATCATCATCAAAATCATCAACATCATCACCATCACCATCATCATCTTCATCATCATCATCAACATCATCATCATCACCATCACCATCATCATCTTCATCATCATCATCAACATCATCATCATCATCATCATCAAAATCATCGCCATCATCAACATCACCCAAATCAACAAAATCAACAAAAACATCCACACCATCGACATCATCAACATCATCAACATCATCATCATCATCAACATCAACATCAACATCATCATCCTCATCATCATCATCATCATCATCATCATCATCATGATCATGATCATGTTCATCAAGAACTTCATTGAAAACCCCTTGCGCCGCAATGGGCTCTGAATGCGCTCAGCGGGTTGCAGAATCATTTCCTTTGGGGGCCGTGGGGTTCGAAAGCATGATTAAGACTATGAATGGCGCAACCCAATGTGCGTTCCGAACACCAGTCAAATTCGAAAGGCGCACACCAAAATTGACCAACATGCAAAACTAAGCTGCATCTAAGCTGCTTTGCCCGCTGAATCAAAGTTGGCGCTTGAGAAAGGCATGAACTTGCGCAGTAATCGGATGTTTCAAGGGTGCTCTCTGAACCCCATGCAAGGTGGATATGTTCAAGAGATATGCGCAACGCTAGGCGCCGGTGTCTCTGGCTTTGAATTGAAACCCAAAGGAGAACTTGGAAAAGCTCCGAAGCTCAAGGCAAGTTGGCAAATCACAAGAAATAAGCTTCACGCGCCACCCGATCTAGGAAACGAAGAACCGCGGGATGCCTGAAATAGATTTTGTCTAGATTAAGTTTAAAAACCTGTTTGGAGTCGGTTGCACCAAAAAAAACGAACCCACTCCATACCTTGGGACCTTGGGTTGTCCAATTCCGTCCTTGGGGCTCCACACCGTCCTGATTGCTGCTGCAGTTGGTGAATTCCATCTCTCCACTGTTCTGAATCAAGCCGTTGCTGCCGTAAAACCCCCCACCTGGGCTGTGTCCCCACTGCAGGCCTCTGGCATTACTGGCATTATTTCAATGATCTTCAATGATCTTCAATGATCTTCAATGTGCTCTTTGGGACGGGTTCCGATCAAAAACCGCACCGGTTGCACTGTGGAAGTGGGGCCCAAATTCTGAACCGTTGGCATTTTGAATCGGAACCTAATTGCCCAGAATTCCACATCTAGACACTTAGGTTCCAAAGGTCGCTTGGAATTCATTTGTGTACATGCGCAACATCCTGTGACTGGAAACTTTCCAAGCTGGACAAAAACAGCGTAAAAGGACATCAACACTATCAAGAAACATTGAAGTTTGAGGCCTGTACATGGCCCAAGGGAGAACACAGCGCGCATCCCGAACAAAATGGCGAGAGGGTTGATTTTTTCTTGGCCTCTGGGTTTGGTAATATATAAATATATATATATATACTCAAAAACAACACAGGCCCAATTGGTTCCAGTTTGCGTGCTTCAAGGGTTCTTTTGGACCTCACTGCATTATATAGACACCCAAAAAGTATAAAGGCCCGAGGCTCAGGAAAACATGGCATTTCAAGCGGCTTCTTAAAGCAAAGCCAGCTCCTTTAAGTTCTTTAAGAACCCCGGCTTCAGACCCAGGGCCTCCTTGGCAAATTCCGCTGCCCCACCCAGGTCGGATCCTGGGGCCTCAGGCCGCTCACTCCGCTGTAGCATGTGTGGAATGTGGAACTTCATCTGTCCGTTGTTCTGCGTCGTGACCCCATAGGTATGAAACCCGCCGCCTCAGCCAAAACTACGGCGTCTCGACCCCAGTTTGGAATTTCGGGACAATGCTTCCGATTCCTATCCAACCAATACGAACGCACACTGTCTGATCCGGTTTCAACACAGGATACAAGCCTCCTGCTCAAAAACAATAGCCACATTGCAGATGAACGGCCCGGCTACCCTTATATCTTCATAGATTTGGCTTGCGGGAGCGAAGCCAGCATACTATACTTCATACATCTTCGTACACCCAGCAAAGTAAAGAAAGGCCGAGGCTGGATCACGCTTCTTTGAGGTTGGAATGAAGGGGCTATTATGAGCACCTGTTGGGCGCTCTTTGTTGCGATATTTTTCTGAAGGGCTTCAGGCCGACACGTCGCCGACCAGGGTTTCAATAAGCACGTCAGAGCCGGAGACCGGTTTCTGCTTTGGGTTTGCTGCTGCCGACCTGTTTCTGCTCAAAGGTTTCAAACTAACCGGTGTCTGCTTCGGCTTCCGTGCCGCTGTCGCGACAGGGTTGACATGTCACCGGCCACTTTCAAATCAAGGTTTCAAACGAACAGGTCCCAGGCCAGGCAGCCGGAAAGCCAGCCAGAAATCTTGCTCTCTGGGAAGGCGGCCAGCCGGCAAGCAAGGAAGCAAGCAACCCACCAAACAAGAAAACCCAAGACTAGAACAAACCATGGACGGGAAGGGAAGGCAGGGACAAGTGCATTTCAGCGCAAAGGCTTTCTGCTCTGAGAATCATTTTCAGGAGGAACCATCCTTCTGGGCGGTGCTTACTACGGCTGTTGCATCTTACTTACCACAACTCCCAAAGAATCCTTGTAGAACGCCAAGGCTGCCCAAAGCATCAATTTCACTACTAATTTAAAAAGCACCAGAGAAATTGTTTCAAGCTCGAGGATTGCTGCGCTACACGAAAAGATCGTACCCAGCGCGGTCCCAGGGCTAAAAGAAAAAGATCAAGCAGAAAAAGGTCTTGCAAGGTCAATCAAATTGTGGCCAAACTCGAGTCCTAAAAACCACTCATGGAAATCCTGCGCACGGGAGGAAGCTGTTCACCACAATAACCATCCACAGCCACGTGGGGACTATCCAAGAAAGCACGCTACCGAGTGCACACGCCATTCAGGAGCAAGACAACCTTTTTGAACATAATTGTTTAGCCGAAAATTACTTTCTTCACGTGATTCCCACCCTGACACACTATAAATATATTCTGACATAGTTTCTGACATGCCATCATATATATATATATCGCATAGCAATAATAAACTTAAAAAAACTGAATAGACATCTGGTCTGCATCCTAGGGAGACAACCTGGTTTCAGCCAAGCTTCAGGGCTAAAACTTCAATAAAAATGGTGTATGAGGTACAAACTGCAACCAATAAAAACCTGTGCTTAACGTTTCTGGTACCCCAGTGTGGCCCAAAAAACGCAGAAATAAAAACCCAGACGCCAACATCTCAGCGTGCAAGCACTTCACATTTTTGTTTCATGGGGTTCAGACCGCATGTTTTCATCCCGTGCAAACACTTGACATCTTTTGTTTCATGAATCTCAAACCCCAAGCTTTCGTCCTGTGCAAGCACTTCGCTATTTTATTTTCATGAAAACTCAGGCCCAATGTTTTCAGCCTGTGCAAGCATGTCGCCATGTAATTTTCATGAATCTCAGTCTCATGTTTTCAGCCTGTGCGCGCACTTCACCGCTTAATTTTAATGAATCCCAGGCACATGTTTTCAGCCACTGTGAGCGATTTCTACCTTCATTCTCTCCTATCCCTACCACCTAGGATTTTATCTTTCCAGCGCTTCATTTACCGGAACAGCTCTCCAAGTTACACTGCGCATTTCCGCATGACAATCATGACGCCTGTCCTGAAGAAATGTCCCAAGATACCCTGCAAAACCTCAGACCCCAAGATTTCATCTCACAGGTTTCCGTGACCAAAAATTTTTGTGGGAGCACTTTGATCCAGAGGTTGCTGTTCGGGTCCGGCGGGGACCACTGCGATTGCGAGCTTGCAGTTGAGGTCCGACGGGAGGCGGAAGGAAGGCGGAAGGAAGGCGGAAGGAAGGCGGAAGGAAGGCGGAAGGAAGGCGGAAGGCGGGACAGCTGACATAAAATCTAACAACCCTCACCTGGCAGGTGGGGAAAAATGGGCGTGATGCAGCAAAATGAACATCGCTACGTGGCAACACATGATAAGAATAAAGTATACATCACAAGAGTAAGAGTTTCCTTACCCTTCTACCTTTCACAAATCAGAAAGGAGACTGGTGAACAGCTGCAAAACAATCAAAAACCAAACAGGTGGGAAACACACATGACAAAAGGCATTGAAATGTCCAATGTTCATCAATGTTCATTGTGTTGATTTTGGTGAACATGTTTCAGCCTCTCTTTGACCTCTACAATTCAGAATGATCCTGAGCTCACTGAGGTCCCATACCGTCCCCTTGGCTTTGGCAGTTGCTGAACTCCATCACTCCACCGTTCTGCGTGACGTCAGAGACATAAATGCCCCCACCTGGGCAAGACCCGTCTCGACCCGAGCTTTCTTGCAAAACCAACGGTAGACCTTGCTAGTTTGCAGACCAGACAAACCCATGTCGTCTGATCCGGTTTCAACACAGGCGTAATGTGGGATTCCTGCTCGAAATCAATAGCTTAAATTGCCTGCAAAGTGCAGGCAAAAAGTGCGGGCAAACAAGATCGCAAAACTGCGTCGAGCTACAACCGCCCAACGCGCTTGAACTCAGATGAACTGCAAGTTTACCCCTAGTGCCTAGATTTGTTCGAGGGAGCGAAGCCAGCAAACTAAACTTCGTACGTGCGGCAAAGAAGATACCCGAATACCACTTCTTGGAGAAATACTTGGAAGTCTCTTGTGGCAAACGTGGTCAAAAATGTCAGCACAAAACCAATTACTTTACTTCGTGTGATCCCCACCATGACATTTATACATTTTCTTACTGGCAAATCTTCTGGCATTCTATCTGACATATCTTCTGACATTCTATTTGGCATTCTATCTGGCATATCTTCTGGCATATGATCTGGCATATCTTCTGGCATATCTTCTGGCATTCTATCTGGCAAATCTTCTGGCATTCTATCTGGCATATCTTCTGGCACTCTATCTGACATATCTTCTGGCATTCTCTGGCATTCTATCTGGCATATCTTCTGGCATATATTCTGACATATCTTCTGGCATTCTATCTGACATATCTTCTGGCATATATTCTGACATATCTTCTGGCATATCTTCTGGCATATCTTCTGGCATATCTTCTGACATATCTATCTGGCATATCTTCTGGCATATCTATCTGGCAAATCTTCTGGCATTCTATCTGGCATATCTTCTGGCATCTGGCATATCTTCTGGCATTTATCTGGCATTCTATCTGGCATATCTTCTGGCATATTTCTGACATATCTTCTGGCATTCTATCTGGCATTCTATTTGGCATTCTATCTGGCATATCTTCTGGCATATCTTCTGACATTCTTTCTGACATTCTTTCTAACTTTCTTCTGCACATTCTTTGTCCCATATCTTCCTACATGAGGTCCGGCAGGGAACACTTGGCGTGGATACTCGCGGTTGAGGTCCGGCAGGGAACACTGGGCGTGGATGGTCGTGGTTGAGGTCCGGCAGGGAACACTGGGCGGGGATGGTCGTGGTTGAGGTCCGGCAGGGAACACTGGGCGTGGATGGTCGTGGTTGAGGTCCGGCAGGGAACACTGGGCGTGGATGGTCGTGGTTGAGGTCCGGCAGGGCACACTGACGTGGATGGTCGTGGTTGAGGTCCGGCAGGGCACACTGACATGGATCGCAGTGGAGCAGGAGGAGGACGAGGAGGACGAGGAGGACGACGAGGACGACGAGGAGGACGACGAGGAGGAGGAGAGGAGATGAGGAGAGGAGAGGAGAGGAGGAGCAGGCAACTGACATAAAATCTAACAACCCTCACCTGGCAGGTGGGGAAAAATGAGATACTACCCAAAGCCTTCGAACTTCAATTGCAGTCATGTTGTGTGTTCACAGGCGAGGAATGATCTCAGGCCCTGTCTCTTTGAATCACACTAGTTTAGACCTAACAGTCTACCAAATTCCATCGCTTCAGGTCTCATCCTCTGCTTGGGGTTCCGCGCCATCTGATCCGCTGCTGCAGTTGCTGAACGCCATCGTTCCGTTGTTCTGCATGATTCTAGCGACAAAAAGCCCCCCACCTGGGCGAATCTGCAACTTTTCAACCCACCGCCGAAGCATCTGAGATGTTTTTCGGAGCAAAGCCAGCAAACTAAACTTCCTACGTGCGGCAAAGAGGATACCCGAAAAGGGACAGAGCGGATACCACTTCTTTGAGAAGTACTTGGAAGTCTCTTGGATTGGAAATCATGATCAAGCCTTGATAACTCTGGCAAACGTGGTAAAAATGTCAGCGAGGTACAAATCTCAGGAAATTTCAAAACCACAAGCAAACCAAAAATGAGATACTACCCAAAGCCTTCGAACTTCAAGTGCAGTCATGTTGTGTGTTCACAGGCGGGGAATGATTTCTGGACCCAACAGTCTACCAAATTCCATCGCTTCAGGTCTCATCCTCTGCTTGGGTTCCGCGCCATCTGATCCGCTGCTGCAGCTGCTGAACTCCATGGTTCCGTTGTTCTGCACCATGCTCTTATTGACGTAGAGCCCACCACCTGAGGAAATCGGGGGGCCTCGCTGCAACATCCGTGGAGACTTGGGAGCATTTGTGGAGTCTTCGTAGTTTCAAGGTCACCCACTGAACCCTGCACGACCCTTTTTCGGTTGCAGGAGCGAGGTTGCGAAGCTGGTTTGGGACATTGGCCTTGGGAACCCTGGCCCAAAAAAATCTACAACGCGTAAAAGTGAAAACAGGGGACCGACGGGGGAAAACAACCACGTAATCCTTCGATAACCCTGTCATCAAAACCAAACGCCCTTTTCTAGCAGGGCGCTTGAGCCATAGCGTCGTTAGCGGATCACCCCTTAAACCCGGTGGTTGTTGGGAAGAAGGGAGCCCTAACTCTAACTACAACCCTTTTCTATCTACCTAACGCTTCTAAGTAGATAGTGCCATACTGTACATTGAGTATTCAGTATAACAAATTGGAAACTTGAATTGGAACTCATAGCTCTGCTATATACACTACGCTATACCTACCTGCTATGCTACATGTAGTGGGGGCTCAGGGGTCGATATATTTCAACTCCCCCCTCGCCTGATCCACGCTCTGCGCTTTTGGCAGGCACCTACGCACTACTATCGCGCAAGCGGGCACTCGCAGCGATCTATGCGTTGGTTGATGGTTTAGCGATGTGTGTGGGACACATCCATTTCAGTCCATCATCGGTGATGGAGGTGGATATTGTGTCACGAGAAGGTTTCTTAAGTGGGGCAGGTGCCCTTGACCTAAGATCTTCATTATGGTTTGGGTGCTGCCAAGGGAATGTATGTGAGCAGGAGGATGAGGCCCACATAAGTGGTGGCGCGGTTTCAGCGGGTTCAGCTATGTGATGGCCCAGCAGTCCGCACTACGACTCATTACCTAACCCTACTTTGGAGGCATTTTGAACTTATGTTACTTAGCATGAACTTATCTTGAACTTATCAAGATGTCATGTTAAGTCCATGGTAAGTTCATCGTAAGTTCATCATAACTTTTAGGATGCTTTTTTAAATGTTTTGAATGTTTTCACCTTTTTATGGATTTTATAGGTTTTTTTTTAAGGATTTGTGTAAATGCCTGGAACGTGTGCTTTAAACTGTCGATCCACGGATGCCCATTTTTTTTGAAAAGAGCGTAGCGGTCGAATTGCTTCAGGTCTGCAGGACCGGAAAGTGCGGCAGTCATCTTAACAGCCACACTCCGGATCTATCCTGTCGAATTAAGCGGAAAGGCTCTTGGCCTTTCAGCATGTGCAACGGCATCAGAGCCAATTGGCCATCTACTTTTTTCCACTTGGGAAAACGATGGCTATACGATGCACTGTGCCAATGGAGTGGTTGCACTAGCACAAACGTGTCCTTTTCGGCAACAACACACCCATGTATTTCGACACAAACAGTTTTGGAGATGCGCAGGAAGGTGCCTCGCGCAAATTCGACACATTCGATCTCAATGCCATTTGCAAACAATGCCGACGTGGGCAGTCCCACCCTCTTGGCTGTCTCTGGCTGTTCACGTAGAACACCGAGCACTTGGCCCGTCCATCTTTCTTTCGGTTCCGGATTGGAAAGTTCCATGTCAGTCAAATGCAACAGCACGCTCTTGGCGTAACCTTCCAATTTTGATATTTTGGGACCAACGTACCGTTTGAAAAGACGGTGCTTTCGTTCCCCCACATGGCAATCGATGTGGCGCTGCCATCTTTGCATCTGCGCAGTGAGATGCAAAGCATAGTGAGCTTTGGGTCTTGTGTGTGAAGCGCCGTACGCTTCTTGAAAGCTCATCATGTGTCTTCGTTGCAAAGGCATCAACTGAGCTCCGTTGGCAACATCAATTTTGCAACGTTGGAGACAACGAACGACATCATACAAGGCCGCAAGAGACGCGCAGGCAGTTGCCATTGGTTCGACATCAAGTAGCACTTCGATGCAAAATGCCCAAAGAAGTGGTAACATCGTGCTGCACGCATTGGCGTCACCTCTGTAATCTTGCTCATATCTGAAAAGTTTTTCATTGACTGCCAAAGTCGGTGGCTGATAGCCATGCGCAGCTGACCAACCTAGGGAGGTCCATTGCTGCAGCAATGAGATTGAGTACCCGCAATCTACAAACCGCGTGTACCAGCAGCCAATCTCCTGACCCACCATTCCTCCACTTTGATATTGATGCATTGCGTCCAGATACAAGCTGTCCATTTGAATCCAACTTGACAAGCAGTCAGATGAGAGTATGGATTTGCTGAGAGAATCGGCATTCCATCCCAACAAAGTTTCCACTTGGGCCAGCTCCTTTTTCGATTGGCACATAGCCAGACGTCGTTGCACCGCTGCTAAGCCGTCATCCGTTTGTTGAACGAACTTCGAGATGCTACTCTCGGATATATCAACGTATCCCTCCGGACACTCTCGTCCAAGCGAAAGAACGTTGATGCAATGACAGCAACATTTCACGCCAGCCGAACCTTTGGCACCAGTGACACTACGGAGACCTTCATGGTCATTCAAGAGCAAGACACGTTTAATGAAGCACAGATGCGCAGAATCCCCAAAGCAAACCGTTACTCCGTGCACGGTATCCTGCCACACACTCTCGAGCACATGTCGCATGATCTCCGCGTAGGATGTCTCATGCGTAGTCACATCGTCCGCTCGAACGGCTGACAGTGGCAACCACATGCTATCTACAAAGAGAACAGGTAGCTCCAGGAAGGAAGCATACACTAGATTTGTCTTCCGAGGATGTCTCGCATGCAAGACATTGCCCGGATTCGCTTCATCACTGAAGATAATGAGCGTCAACTGATTCTGCGATGCCTTCATAGCTGCTTGCAGCAAGGTCGCATATAGGGGCGATCGCTGTACCTTTTCCGCCACCAGCATCGACAAGGAATTACAATGCACCGTGAGACCCTTAGGCCCTGGAAGTTTGACGGCTTGCAGCATCTTGTGCGCAACCGGAAACTTCACAGCTGGGGCACGGCACGTGGTCACACCCTTGCCATCATCCCGCAGCCGGGCAATTACCTCCCGACAATCCGCGGCGCTTAGCCCCGGGATTTCTCGCAGGCATGCGAATTGCTCAGCCGGTGTGCCATCCACAGCAAGTTTACGTTTCATTGCATCAATCGAAAGCAAGGGCAGGAAGAGAAGCCAAATGGCTGCGGTACAAGCGCTTTCGGACATGGACATGTTATGGACAGCAATGGTGACGCAGGGACACGGAACCCAAGCAGCTATACTATATACCCATCGTACCACCTTATAAAACGTCTCATGCAGTCCACGACCGTTCACTTTTGCTCGACACAGACAACGGCGCTCAATGTGACGCGGTCATCGCGCGGCAAGGGCAGCTACACTATATACCTTACACCCCATGTAAAGTGGGTGCCACCCGCTCCTGGATTGACCCGTGGCCACACGAGCCCATGGCTCGCAGGCTAAGAGGCGTCCCACTCATGGCTCACTTTTTGTACGGCGGCGCTTGGCCGCCTGCGATCCTCCGGTGCCCTCCGCTTTGGCCTTAGCCTTTGGCTTGGGAAAGCTCTCTCGCAGAGATTTTTGGGCCTCCGTGCTTTGCTTCAACAGAACCTTCACATCGGACGCGTCACACGGCAAGGCCACAAGTGCCTCTTGGGCGTCTTCCCCTTTCTCCTTGTTCTGATCCTGCAGGCGTACCGCTTCCTTGGCGGCTCGCATCCATTCTTGCGCCTTCCCAAGACTTTCCCGACAAAGCTTCAGGGCTTCTTGTTCTGCCTCTGCCACCGATTCTCCCTTGGCAATCACCTTGGTCAAGGACGTTTCCGCTTGGGTCAGAAGTCCGAGGCACTTAGCCGCCCACGTTGCGATCTTCACGTTTTCCGTGCTAATTTTCTTCGCCTCTTGGGCCTGTTTGCGCTCAGCTTTCTTGTCATCGGCCTCAGCTTTGCCACTTGGGCCAGCACAAACTGGAATATCCAGGTCGTCGTCTTTCTTTCCCTTCTTCTTCGTGGCTTGTTTCTCACGTTCTAAGATCACTTGCTCACAGACCTGGAACGTCTCGCCCCACGTGCGCGTGCGCACCGGCACGGAGAAGAGGGCACAACCATGCGCTTCCGACTCCGCGGAAGGAAACCTTCGCACGACTTCCTCTTCCCAGCCACGCGCCACAAGAACACTCATCGGCAATTCTTCCACCTGAACATTGGACTCGAATTTGGAGATCTTGGACTCAGTCATGCGCCTCAGCAGCGTGGCACGAATCGTTTGCCAAGTCACCTTGCCTTCGGTGCCCTTCGCGCTCTTCGCTTCCCGGAAGAAATTCTCTGTCTCCGCTTGGGAGAACTCGGCCAAGTCCGCGGTCGTGCCGAGGTGTCGCCGTATGGTCTGCTCCACGTTCAGACAGTTCCAACATTTGAAGGAGCGGCCATGTTGTCGCCCTTGGGCACTTCCATAGACATGACCGCACATGACGCACTTAGCGTTCCCCTCCTGCGTCGTGGATTCTGCCATGACTACCACAAGGCGTTGCACCCGCAAAAAAAAAAAAGAAACAAAAAGAGCCAAAGCTGCGGGTAGACACATGCAACTCAGACATACAAAAAACCTAGAAATCACCTGAATTCCCGCAGTCATGAGGACATTTGCTTCGTTTCAAGGTCATCACTTCCGCAGTCAATCGCAGTCAAGAGTGCTGCACATGCTTCTGTGGGTACATCCACTCCGCAGTCAACGGCATTCAAGGTAGAGTATCCCAGTCCATCAATGTTTGACTTCGCAGTCATGGCCCGCAATCAAACCAAAATCTTAGCATTTTTTCCGCAGTCAACCGCAATCACGTCGCAGTCAGTTCGCAGTCATGCAGAAACGTACCGGAAAAGCAACGTCCTCATCGGATAGTTTGCCCCGCGGCACGCTCCTGCCGCCAGCGCTGCAGTAATTTTCGCAGCAGCCACGCGGCTCTGCGACACCAGAGAAACTCCCTGTATCGATTCTCTCGCGTAGAGAAGTGCCACGCCAAGCTGCACAGAAGCTTCCGCGAAGACGCGTACCTGCTTCCAAAACAATCCCTGCAGCGCAGGAGATAGATCCAGTGGTCTGCACTTGGCTGCTGGACCAATTTTGCTGGAACGAGGCAGTAGCCAGGTAGCTTCGGATGAGCCGGAAGATCCAATGGCGTTGCATGCCATTCTCCGTAGAGAAGCAAGGCACTGAGTCGCGACAGTAGTCGCCGATCGGAGGGCATCGCGTGGATGCAGGCGTCTTCTAGCGCTTGGCGTACGCCATGCCACGTAGACCGGAACCCCTCCAACGGATCCGTTGGCTTTGTGGCGGTCATCGCATGGATGACTTCTTCCAGGGCACTTGGCCGTAGAGAGAAGGAAACATCCCGCGACATCTGCGGAGCAATGCGGGCAGGAACGAGTTTGGGACTAGCAACGGCTGCGGTGGAACACACATCATTCAAAACGGCTGCGGTGACAATAGTGCTTGAAAAAAACCCTTGGAGCCACACTCAGCCGACAGCACAGGACCTCCAGTTTTTTTTTCCCTTTCAGCGTGCTCGAGGTCGTCCTTCCACTTGCTATACCTACTTGGCCAGCGATGCACGTGGCACCTGCACCCACACCAAATCCTTGCCTTCACCTCCGCGGCGCTTGGCCTTGTGCCCCCCCCCATCAGAGCGGTCGCTGCTGCTCGGCGGGCGACGATCACGCCTGCGGGGCCGTTCTGGGGAAGGGTCCGATTCGTGATGACGGCGACGCTTCTTCTTTTTTTTTCCTTCTTCTCTTCCTCCGGCTTACGGAGGTCAGTCTCGTCCTCGTCCAACATCTGTGCCTCGCCTTTCTGTGCCTCTTCCAACTTGTCCCGATGGGCTGCGCTGCGCGCTGGAATCACTTCGTCGTGACCAGGCGGCTCCCACTCATGTTCGCGACGACTCTTGATTTCCTGGGCGCGCCATTGTGCAGTTGCCCAAGACATGTCGCCTTGCGAATACAGCTGCCATGCAATGCACGCCTCGTTCCACCACATGTGCTGCGATAGCCCTGACCCGCGTGGGGTCACGGCGACATCATGCCAGCAATGCGGGCACGATTGATAGCGCCTGCCATAGCCGCTGGGGCCTTTTCCTTTGCCACCTTTTCCGCCACTTTCCCCAGGTGGACGCCGCCTGTTGTCTGCGTCTGGCAGCGGTTCATCTAAGCCAGCTGGCGGCAAGGACCGCATGGGTCCTGTCGGTGCAGTGCCACGCCTCGGTGACCCCTTTCGGCGCTCCGCACGTAGCGGCGGAGGCATCAGAGGGCTGGGTTCCCTGGAGTCCTCGCTCCTCGTTCGATGCTTCGCCGGGGCCGACTTCGCCGCGCAGCCTGGAGGAGCAGACCGCGCGCGTGGCGCTGCTGCAGATTCTCCCTCTGCTATCGTCTCCGCGCGTGGCGGTCTCGACGCCGCACGTGGCGGTGCGGGTTCCGCTGCGGGCTCGAGCAACTCCTCCTCCTCTGAGACATAGGAATACGACTCCTTGTCCTCGTCCTTCTCGTCCGCCATGGCGTCCTTCAGGGTGACATCGGGAAAGAAAATCCGAACAACACATGCGCATATATATATATACACAAGAGCGATATAACCGCACATATATATATATAAATATATATATATATACATCGAAGTATCCAATCCCATGGGAACCCGACCTCCGCCCCCACAGGTGTGCACCCCAAGGCAGACCGGCGCGGGTGGCCTATTCCAGCTCGAGCCGCCACGCCCTTTTGGACGGAAGTCACGCTCCAAGTCTTCATTGCATCCATTGTCTTATCGTTTTTTTTGGCACAAATTGGCCATGCATGCCGTTTCAAATTAGATATGCCAAATGCAATGTTTGAAGCTCGAACATGAACTCGAAACGGCCACACAAACCGAACCATTCCAAGCAGCACTTTTTTCAACCGCAATATACGAATCCCGGTGTCAACCTACGGTGCGACAAAGCCGCGTGATCGCCAGCAGGATACGGTACAATTCGTGTACCTGCACTTGGAGCAGCCATTCTGAAACTGCAGCTGCACCTTCTTGGGCACCACTGCCAAAATGGCTTGACGCCTAGCCTGACGTGACGAAGTGGCCGTAGCCGCCTTGGGACCCGTCCGCTTTGCCTTCGCTTTGGCACTCATCGGACATCCCGTAGATGTCAGGCGAGGGCTTTTTCCCTTCGCAGCTGCGGAAGGCTTGCGGTCAGAACACCCCTTCGGTGCCATTGCAGCTGCTGGACGCTTCCGAAGAGGAGCTTTCGTTGCTGGTCTCTTACACAAGCTCTTAGCTTTGCCTTTCGCCTTCGCCTTTGGCGCCACGGCCCGTAAGGCAGCCAATTGCGACTCCACATCTCGTAGATGTTGCGCCCCTTCGTCACCGTCTTGCGATGACACCTGCGCCGCTGCCACACGTCCCGTCGACGTATCCACATCCGGCATCAACTCCTTCGCTGCCATCTCTGCGTGTGGCGCATTGGTCAGCGCCAACAGTGGTGGAGGACGCACCTCCATGGTTGCACTTGGCAAACCTGTCGTCGCACTGGAAGCCGTCGCTGCCGCCCCACCATGCGCTAACAGTGAATGGCTCGCAGCCACAGCTCCCTGCACAGCTGCCGTGATTGCACGCGTAGTCCAATCAGCCGTCATATCTTCCTTTGCGCGTCCCGTAGACGCCGCAGAAGACAAGGAACGATTCGTCCCCCGCATCGGCATGGTCCTGGCTGCTTGCATCATGGCCACACCGTTCTCTGCCATATTCACTGGCAAACTCCCCCCAAAGGCAGCGTCACGAAGATGCGCAGGTAGCTGTCCAAACTCCATTGGCAATGCGGGCAGTGGATTGGTCACATCATCCATGGCACTCAAACATTTTCGCACAAAGTGCTTTTGCCGCTGAAGCAACACATACTTCTCCTTATCCGTCATTCCATCACAGAATTGCTTCCAGTTCGCCAGGGTCACAAAGGTTGCAATTGTGTATTCCGATGGCACACGTAGTGACAAAAGGCCAGCATGCAGACACAGCGCTCGCAAGATTGCGTCAGCCGTGCCTTTTCCTTCCAATATCATGGTCGCCAGCTCCTGCGGTAGGAAATGAACGATGTGACTGAAGTCTTGCATTCGTCTACGCTCACCTTCGCCCTCGACTTGCGAGGTCTTTGCTGCAACCTGTCGCTGCAGTTCTTCAACAGATGCTTCCGACCACAGCCTCGCATCAATCGCTTCGAGCAACGAAGCGGCCTGAGTCGTGCTCAGCTCCTTGCTTTTCCCCAAGGCAATGAGAAGCCCCCGTAGCTGCTTCTGCTCGATGTCCTCGTAGGACGCCAACGCACGCACCCCACCCAAAAAGCGTTGGGAAGCCTCTAGCTGCTTCTCCACGGCCACCATTTCTGCTTGAACCAAAAACTTCAGACAACAAACGTTTTTCTCTTCTTTTTTTCCATTCTTCAAACATTCTTCTATTTTTTGAACCAAATCGTAACTTCCCTATGTTCCTTGTAAGTTCTAAGTAACTTTTCCTTCTTCTGCATCTAAGCTCCATAAGTATGTTATAAGTTGGCAATTTTTTTGAAGAACTTACGATGAACTTATGGACGATATAACCTAACTTACGAAGGCTATAACATATGTTACGATGAACTTGTAACATGTCTAAGTTCAAAACGCCTCCAAAGTATATTATCCCCACTAAGCCTATCACTAGGAATGCCATTATGTTCACTTACCGACAACTTCTGGATGTCAAGGGAACAGGCAAGCTTGTACGGGATTGGCTTAGCTTTCGCGTTGCAAGCGTTCTTGGCAACTTTCCGATGTCTACGGTTAGTGCGACCAGTTGGTCGGCTAGACCCTGGAAGCGACTCCTGACAAGGGATTGAGGCTGATGAAACAGCTTGGGATTGAATTAGTGCATTTGGAACGCTAGCACTTGAGGGTGACGGGAAACCAGGATTGGGAAGCTCTAACTCCGGAGCGCTTTTATCACTATCCCCATGAAGTTGGCCCGATCTTCAGAGAAGAGTGAGAGGGCATTGGGCTAAAGATTTCTTCACCTACTCCGATGCGAGCATAAAGCTCAGCATCCTCGTCACCTTTGACTCTTTGTGTGCTTACGTTATGTGGTGCTTTCTTTTCCCTTTTTATGTTGTTTCTTTTCTTCAACCGTATTAACACTCGAGAAGTGGGCGCAGCGTTGGCCGTGTGCCGTGTATGGGTGTTGCAGATGGCACATCCAGGCGTATCCTCAGCAATGAGGACATGATCTAAGAGGGTGTTCATGCGACGTCCCCTAAGATCAGGTGTTGAAGGGCCATTATTACCTCCATCTTTATGACAGGGAACGTCATCCTCAGTATTGTTAGGGGATTTCAAGTCATGCGGGTTACCCCCCCTGAAGAGGGCATGACCACATAACATACCTACCAGGAAGACGAGATCACCTTCAAGCACGGCACGCTTTGGGTTGTGCACATTGGTTGCTACGCTTTCACTTCCATGCGACTCAACTTTGCCTGTCAATACCCCAAACTTTTGGGAGCCTTTATCTAGGACAACGCTGTTTGGTGAGAGCTGCCCATGCTGCTGCTCTGAAGAATCAACAGAACCATCGGCTTTGCCGTCATTGGAATGTGAAAACTTCATAGCGTTATCTTTAGCTATATGGCTAATGGGGTAAAACTGGCTATTTAAAAAGTTTAGTCGCATGTGTTTTGGATTGGTGGCTTGCTGCTTCAAGATTTTATCTTTTGGCGGCTCACCATTACCCAATGGATGACCAGCTCCTAGGTGAACTGGGGAATTGGGTGCGCTGGGGTTTTCAACAGCGACTTTTTGGCATCCCGACGCGCTAGCAAGGCCAGCAGCGTCACCAACAGATTCAGGTGCTAGATCTGTTTCTACATCTTTTGCGGGTGGAAAGACATTATTTGTAGGGATTGACGAATTACCATGATTGATGGTATCATCTATTTCTACAAGTGTCTTGGGTCCTACGGATGAAGCTGGCATTGCATTTGGTATGGGAGCGAGGCGCTCTTTTGGTTCAAATGAACATGGGGTCAGTTCTTCATCATATTGTGGGACATATTCTACCACCCTAGATGCGCAGATTTTAGCGTTCTTAGGAACTTTTAGCCTGCATCTATTGACGTTTTCGGGAGCTATTAGATATGGGACGCTCTCCCGTGGATCCCAGATGAACATGTAACCTTTATCTATGACTGCTTTACCTATACTTTGTGCTGGAGGGCATTCCTCAAGAACATAGACCTCTTCACCATCAAGAATCTTGCTGCCACTGAAGGTTAGGGATTCTTTGCCAGATTGGCTGCCACCACCGGTAGCGAAAGCTACGGGGTTTGGGGAGTGCTGTACATTCTCCCGCATGGCTGGTGTGAGGGCTTGGCGTCCAATAAGGTGCCGACCTGCTGCAGTGTCCCAAAGCCAAGGGATGGCTGTGGAAGCTTTAAAAGGCATAGCAGTAACTACAGGTTTAATCGCGTCAGAGACAGCGACCTCTGGGACTATCACGGTTGCTACACTAGCATAGGCATTGGGAGGGGCTTTGCCACCTTTAGCAAGTGCTCTAGGAGGAGGTCCTTGATATCTATTGGTTTCAGAGTGGAGGAATGCGCACGATTTAGCCCTACATGCATTGTACGCGAAGAACATGCAAGGGGTGATGGCCTTTTCGGCTGCCGACATACGGGCTGCTTTCTTGGCTTTCTCTCCCTTAGGGTTCGTGCTATCCACATCAGTGGATGGGGGCTGCTTTAATCCTACGGGTCTAGCCTTTTGGGTAGGGGCTGCCTGCATATCCTCTTCAGTCTCACCCCCCCCTGAACCCTGACTTGCTGGAGATTCATGAGCGTCCTCCGGGTCTGGGTCTGGGGTTGGTGCCGGGGCACCAGCGATTTTATCATCGGGAGGTGGATTGGCACCGAAGTACCCTGCCGCTGGCTTTAGACCTAAGCTGTCTATCAAAATCTCGGCGATTGCGCTTTTGCTGCTCCAGTTGGATGGCTAGTTCAACTTTGGACCATAACCAGTCGGTTGTGCGACGATGGCTATCTAGTCGGGCTTCCCTAGCTTTAACGACCTTTGGGGCCATTACAGCATGATGCTCAAGTTCGTCGATAAGATGGTTAAACAACGTTTGCGGTCGCGGCAAATCCTCTACGGGAATTGTTGACATTGCGTAGATATAGGTGTCTCTAAAGGTAACTAGATCGGCTATAGTGTTACCGGGGACCTTAAGGGACAACAAATTCCTTTCGCCAAGCATGCCAAGGCGGTCACGCTCTAGCTGGAAATGTTTAAATATCCTACGCAACATCGCGCGCCCGCAGGGCATAGCCCCACTAGCAGCGCGCTCAGACTCTAACATCTGATTGAAGAGGAGTCCAAACCTTCCATCTTTGCAAGTTCCTAAGAGCTTGGATGCTACTTCGCGGTCAGTGCGAGGGTAGCGAGGGTCGGCTTGGAGTTCTTCCTCTGTTAAGGTTAGGCACTCCTGGGCCCACAAGTAAAGTTCATTACCAGGGGTCTTTTGAAGTTTGCCTATGGCCATTAACACCTGGTTCACGTAACCTCGAGCTTCACCTGCATTAACAGGAGGGTGGGGGAAAACCAGGTCAGTCAGGGACTTAACCATAATGGTCTTCTCTTCCTGCCTCGCGAAATCTACAGGTGCCAGGGAGGAATTGTCTGATGATGACCCTGAGCTCGAAGAGTCAACAGACCTACATGAACTTTTGTGGTGATAATATGATGGCGTCGAGTGTTGGGCACCTTGTTGGACAAGGTGCAACGGCAATGGCGGCACGACCGGAGGAAGCACCTGCCGCGGGAATGGCTCACTTCCTGTGGCTCGACGAGTCGAATTACCACAAGGTGTACCCGCATGGCTCGCTTGACTAAGACTTATTCCTAGTGGCGCGCCTGAGGCAGCGCCCTCTGCAATTGATGCTGGGGGCGCACAGGCTGATGCTATTGCTTGGTGTGCTTTTGCCAAGGTTGGGTTCGAACCGCTTGCAGCATGCGCACAAGGCACAACAGCATTTGTTGCTGTAGGCAAGTTAGCTGAAAGACTAGGTCTTACTAAAGCCACTTCCTGTAGCTGTGGGTTCGCCCTAGATTGTTGTTGTTGTTGCATCTGTTGAAGCTGCTGCTGTTGCAATTGCAATGCACTTGACAACCTTAACACCTCAGCTTAGAGTTGTTGAACCAAGACTGACTCTGATGTGTTCGACCCACTTGCAGCTAATGCACTTAGGCACCATAACAATTAGTGTTATGGGCAAGCTAGACACTGGGACTAACCCTGCGAGCTGGGGGGTCGCCACTACAGGGGCGGGTGAGATACCCGAATGGTGTAAAGACTGGGGTAAGGATGCTACAGCATTTTGTGCGGCTACATTAGACGATTGACAGTGGCTTTCTCCTGGTTGTGCAGGATGGCCACCACCAGGGACTTTGGGGGTAACCCTACTAGTCGCCTCTACGACAGTTGTGACAGCAACCACTTGCAGTGCCTGATATATTCACCCCGCTTCGCGTGGGGTGGCCGCCCACACCGCAGGTTTATTTCGGTCCGTGAGAGGGGCTAAGGGTGGTTTTCCCGCGTGGGGGCTCCCCAAGCTAAGAATTTTCACTTTCCCCCCCTGTGATTTAGTTTTGTTTTACGTGTCTACACAATCCTTTCATGCTTGTTGACATGTACACTTAATTCATATCTTTCATGCGCACTCCGCATGGCTCAAGACTAGCAACAGCCCGCAGCCTAGAAAAGAAGTGCATCTTGCGTTAGCTTGCCACAGGTGTTGTAAATAGTAATCCAGGGCTCCCTTAAAGGGGAAGGCTACCTCAAAGTGGTAGCGGAGCCTGTGCCTTCGCCAAGTCTAGATCCGTGTGCCGAACTGCCGTTCTCTGCATACTTTCCGTATATCGAACTTGCGGAGGCAACCTGTAGGTCAAGTTAGAGTAGCTGCCATGGTCTTAATCCACAACATGGATTCAGATGAAGAACAACTCCAGATTGTCTCTTATGAAGAGCCGGAAGCATTTGCCGCCACCAGTCATTCCGAAAACCGGATGGGCATCAAAATGACACCAAAGGTTCCACCCCAATTTGATGGCCAATCTAGCTGGTTTGAATATGAGGATTTAATTGATGACTGGTTAGGGATCACAACATTGGATGCAGATAAGCACGGACCATCATTAAAGAACGCCCTCATTGGTTCCGCTTCTTCTTATAAGTCGATGCTCGATAATGCCTTACTCCGAGATCCGGATCGTGGCCTCTCCCATTTCAAGGACACATTGAGACCATACTTCGTGAAAGGAGTAAATCATGTGTTCCTTTGGCGATTCCTTCAGATGTTTCG